AGGAGAGAAAAAACTTAAAACTAATGAATAATAGCAAGAGCAGTGACACAATAATAACATAATGACTGTTATTAGAACAGAAGTAGATACTAGCATATGTCTGCCAAGTGGTAAAGTATCTGTCCTGTGGTATGAGAGTATGTCTGGCTTCAATGGGAAGTAGAGAAGACACATCTTCCACATCTTATTACGAAGATATCCAATTATAGGTTAGAAAATCTTCACAAAATCTAGTATTTCTTTTCCAGCATCAAGATGCTGACCTTACATAGGTACAATGTATACAATTATAGAACTGTTATATGACCAATAAAGTTCTTCCAAATCGATTCATTGTTGTGTTTATTATTCAACATACAGTGAATACCATACCTAATTTTTGCAATGTTCTATGTTTTTCCCCCAGGGGAAAAAAAAAGCTTGAGCTCATGCATAATCTAAAAATGAATCTATTGGATGTGATGGGGACTAATGCTTTAAAAATTAATGATAAGATAAAATTAATTGCTAAATTTGGCAAGCTGCTCTTAAAAATCAGAGTAAAAGCCCAGACTTAATTCTGATTGACCATATGTGATTGGCTTATTGTCCACACTGATATATTACAGCAGTGGTTCTCAAAAGTGTTGTCTGGAGATCCCTGGGAATCTCTGGCTTTCAGGGGATCTGTGAAGTCAAATATTTTAAATTTTATTTTAATTTCTAATAAAGTAAATTTTAAATAGATGTAATCCACATAAATCAAAGTTCTTTAGGGTCCTCAATCATTTTTAAGAATGTAAAGGGATCCTAAGATAAAACATCTCAGATCTGCTGCTTTAATGTATCATCCTGCTGGTAAATAAGCCAAACACATCCAGTCAGTTTGGCAATGTATTGACCATTAGACTAGCTGGGGTAGGGTTTAAAGTAGCTCCTTGGTTTTGTAATATAGTAGCAGCTATAAATTAATTTTCAAAAGCAAATTGGAAATGTTTTAAATTTTGATTTTCAAAATAAATTCCAACTTCTAGAATTTGTACTAAATTTAATGAAAACTATGTGAGAGCATTTAATAGCCACAAATTTCAGATTGGCCTCCAATGATCTGGTGTAAGTGACCTGATACAAAGGCTAATGGAACTCTTATTCCTTATATGACAACTTTTCTCATTGCAGTTTGCTGAATGTTGGTTTCTGAAGTTTTCTTCAGAAGCAGTGGTATACACAGCTGCTTAAAATAGAACTATCCATCTTTCCCTCTGCATTTGGTTCTCAAAATATCTGAATAAAAAGAATTATGGTTCATATACAGAACAGTGAAAAATTTCATGTAGCTTCATTTAGCTAGTTTCACAAAACACATTAAATCACAAACCATTGTTTAACCATTGTAAAATGAGGGAAGTAGTTGAAGATTTAGGAAAGGGAGGAGCACGCTTTACAGCTGCTCTCAATTATCTGAACCGTATAATTTTAAAATATATTAACTATAAGCAAAGTTGATTTGATATAAGGTTCTAATCTATATTTTCAAAGTGAAGATATGCATTCATACCAGCAAACTGAAGGGACACTTTCTGAGTCCCAGTAATAGGTATTCTTACTTTCATCCTGCCTCCAGTGGTTGACCCTTCACAATTACTGGTATTCCTTGACTTTAAAGAGGTATGTAGTAAATCTGCCCAAGTAGTAAATCTGCCCAAATAAGGACAAATGGTGAATATATTCCATTCACATTTAATAAAATATAAGTAGTATTCTTTATTCAATATATTTATTGTCAGTCAAAAATTTTAATTTTATAATGTTGAGAACAGGAATGTCTGGCCCAGGATAAAAAATAATTCAAGATGGCAGCCACAACTGTACAGAGATTGACCTCCTTTTTTACACACATCACACATAACATGGGTAAGGCTTTGTGTTTTTGTAGCTTCCATCCTCACTTTTCTTGACCCAGATGTCCGTTTGATGGCCTCAGGAGTGACTACATCCAAAGGTTTCTGGTACTGCATGAGACTCTTCAAATGGTTATATATCTGGAAGCTCGTTTACTGTAGTTCTAATGTGTGCCCTAAGTCTTTGTCACTGGTCCATGACCCAGCAGAAAAATATAGCAATGCAAGATTTGTGGCCCGAACTGCCCAGCCCAATTCTGCCCTAGTATTCAGCATGCAAATGGAACTGCTCTTGCTGCTGTTATACAGGGCAGTGAAAAAGGATGATGAGAAGAAATGGTGAAGAAGGGCAGGGTTTCCTTTGGCTTCATTTCCCCTCCTACCAAACATCCTCTGGCAGCAGGAAAACTGGATTGTGGCACTTCTTCATTGCTGTTCAGTCGTCCACTGGGTGCATTGAAGTTTTCTCATTGGTTTTGCTACAAAGGGACTTCCCATCTCCATTTTTTTTAAAAAAACTGCTTTTATTACTTGAGAGAAGTGGCATCATTTTGCTACCCTCTTCTGGCTTCCTGGCCATAGGCTACCTCCTGATACTACTGGCCAGGAGAACACAACTGAACCTATGGTCAGCATTTATATTCCCATTTGACAAGATCAGTGGAGTTTGTTCATTATGGACCATTCCTTCCACTTCACTCTGTACCTGTACCCCGTCAGCCAGGATGGGTCCTATCCTAGAGTTCTTGTTTGTGCAAGTAGGCTGCAATATAGGCTCTCTGTGCTGGCAACTTGTTTGTTAAGCATTTTGACAGTGCCATTTCAAACGTCCACTCCAGTCATTCAACCCTGGAGTGTGAGGAGTGGCTGTTCTCTTTCCTGAAGAACCCTGTCTGCAGCAGGGGCCAGCAAAGTCATACAATATGCAGACAGATGCCTCTATCGAAACCAGGCATATGGTCCAAGCAGTTACGACAGGCAGGGTATGCCCACAGCAGCCTAAAATAACCACTTGGTGCTGGCCAGATGTCACTCCCAACTGTACCAGCAATTGGAGAGGAGAGGGGAAGGGGGGAGGGGAGAGGTGAAGAGAAGAAGAGTTGTTATTAGTTGCAAAGTCGTGTCCGACCTATCGCAACCCCATGGACAACTTTCTTCCAGGCCTTCCTGTCCTCTACCGTCCTCTGGAGTCCATTTAAACTCACGCCTACTGCTTCAGTGACTCCATCTAGCTACCTCATTCTCTGTTGTCCTCTTCTTCTTTTGCCCTCAATCTTTCCCAGCATTAGGCTTTTCTCCAGTGAGTCCTTTCTTCTCATTAGATGGCCAAAGTATTTGTGTTTCATCTTCAGGATCTGGCCTTCTAAAGAGCAGTCAGGGTTGATCTCCTCTAGGACTGACCGGTTTGATCGCCTTGCAGTCCAAGAGACTCGCAGGAATCTTCTCCAGCATTATAGTTCTAATGTAGATAAAAGAAATAATGTGAATAAAAGAAAGGAATCATACAGAGTCAGATATATGGGCTCTGGGAGATCCTCTCTATTCACATTATTATAAGGGGAAGACGTACTTAGATACATGAACTTTGAGAGAACCTCTCTATTCACATTACTATAAGAGAGGAAAGTGCTTGTTGGAGATTACATTAACAGTTAAACCTCATTAAGTGGTAATATATCTTCTGATGAAACCTAGATGTCACGAAAATGGAAAACATCTGAGTGACCTCACTATGAATGACACAAAGACATATATGTTACAAAGAGCTACTTAATCTAATAAATTTACCCAAGGACAGCAGTAACTCTCCCATTAGCAACTCCAAGCACTTAAGAAAAGTTGTGTGGCTAAGATAATTTTATAAACTAAAATTAATGGTTTAAGTAATTAGATGAACATATTATCCAATGTATGTAACCATATAGGGAAAATCAGATGTATGATCTCATGTTAATCATATGTGGAAAATGTATGATCTCACTGAATTCTTTGTCTTAGAAATGTATAAAACAGTTGTATCAGAGTTCTCTCCTTGTTCAAAGCTTCAGGTACAAAACTGGCTCTGAACCTTGTGCAATAAAACTGTCTCTGGCTGACCCAGGAATGTTGTTTGGTCTCATCATTCCACAACAGTTCAAAGGCCTCAGTTCTTTGGCACTCAGCCTTTCTTATGGTCCAACTTTCACAGCTATACATTGCAACTGGGAAAACCATAGCCTTTGACTCTATACCCTTTTGTTGGCAGAGTGATATCTCTGCTTTTTAGTAAGCTATCTAGATTTGCCATAGCTTTCCTCCCCAGGAGTTATGTCTTTTAATTTCTTGGCTGCAGTCCTCATCTGCGGTGCTCTTGGAGCCCAGGAAAATAAAATCTGTCACTACCTCCATTTCTTCCCCATCTATTTGCCAGGAATTGAGAGGGCCGGATGCCATGATCTTAGTTTTCTTAATATTGTGTTTCAAGCCAACTTTTGCACTCTCCTCCTTCACCTGCATCAAGAGGCTCTTTAGTTTCTTTTTCTGCCATTAGAGTGGCATCATCTGCATATCTGAGGTTGTTGATATTTCTCCGGCAAAAAAGAGGAGAAGTTAAAGAAAACTATAGACTGCCTCAGCTATGGGCTGAGGATCACACAAAGACAACATCGGAGCAAACAATTATTGGGGATATTCCTTCCGCAGTTGGCGGGATGAGGCTATAAAATAGCTTTGGTTGACTTAAGCCTGAGCATCATTCTACAGCAGTGATCCCCAAAACAGAGCTTCATGCACAGGCGACTGCCCGCCGCTGGCGCAAATGGAATAGCGCGGCCCGGGGTTTGGGGACTTGATTTAGAAAGAAGGCCAAGCCTAGCCTTTTAACTCACGAGAGTTACAAACTCTTAGTTACTCTAAGTTTTTTCTTAGAGAACTTAATAGTCAGGTGTTTATTCAGTCACTTGTTTTTGTCTGCTAGAACAGAGGTTCTCCAACCTTTCCGGCTTTGCGGACCGGCGTGGGAGGGGCAAAGGGGATGGTTCCGCGCGAGCGGCTGGCCAACGGGCGCACAGCCCCATTTGCACGAGCAGTGATGCCCGCGCGCCTGCCGCTCATGCAAATGAAGCGCGCATGCACGTGCTCGGCCGCAGCGCGTGGAAGTGGGGATGCGCGGTGGCGGTTGCCAGCCGTTTCTCCGTTCCGGTTGAAAAAAACACCTCACGGCTCAGAGGTTGGAGACTCCCCTGCTTCTACAGTATTTTAACATCGTTCTGGCGGGGAAAATAAAGTCCTTTGATTATATATGAGATATATTCTTTATATTTGTACGTAACTGTGAGCGAGGGCGTCCACATTTGATCTCACTTGAATCTTTTTTCTCGGAAACGACGGCTGCTGTGACAGGGAAAGCTAAACGGGAAGGTACCCCCCCACCCAACCCCGGATTAACATTTCAAATTCCCCAACGGACCTTTGCGCGAAAGGCCGTACGGCTCGCGGTCGTAACGTAACGCAACGCGTAACCGTCCCGAGTTGCCTAGCAACCACGAACGCCCGAACTGCATCAATCAACAGAGGCGATGGAGTAAACAAAAGCACATGGGCAGCTACGGCGGCGAATCCCCGAGTCGGGAGGTTTGTTACGCCACCAATGGAATGTGAGAACTGGAACAAGGCTGGATTGTGAGGCGGAGAAGATTCGGATCGCAAGGAGGAGCGAAGAGAGACGTCCTGTTCTCTCCCGGCTTTAACTAACGGGTGCACGAAAGGCTTCCTTCCGTAAATCGGATCCCGTTAGTGAAAGAACAGAATATTCTTAAGAATATTAGAGAAAAAGCATAGCAATAATAGTCCTAGATTGCTCTTTTGGGATGCGAATTTGCTCTTTTTTTTGCCGCAGAAAAGAATCTTCCTTGTGAAGGAGAAAAATCCTTTAGTGGTAGAAGTACTTTCCTAACCAGAAGGTTTTATTTTCTAAGAGTTAGTATATGAGCAACAGATTTATATGGTTACATTGAAAGCAGATTTTATATATTTATTTTTTTAAAAGAAATTTTCAAGCAATTGTCCCACTCAGAATTCGTTACCAAAATGTCTGTCAAAGTCACATTGTATGAATTGGCGGATCTCTCCATAGGGACCCCTGAGGTTGGTGTTATCAATTTCAATGCCCTCCACGCTCTCCTACATAGTGTCATCAGCTACCTCAACATTCAAGATATCAAAGCAGATGTGAAGATGGACAGAGGTCCTCCAACCAAGCCAAAGATGGCATTGCTTTCTGCTGTAACTGAGGCAGGACCTACTGATTTATTGGGCCAAGAGGCATTACCAAAAGAGAAGGAGGACAAGGAAGGCATTTTGAAAGAGGAGCAGGATCCTCGGCTTGCTGACTTGGAAAAGAAACTAAAGCTGATGGAGACCAATCTCCGTGGCGTGAGAGGTCAGATTAAAGGGATAGAAGGCCAGGTCCAAGGGGTATTAGGTCAAGTCCAAGAAGTAGAAAATCAAGTCAGTGGGGTGCAAAATCAAATTCAGGGAATACAAGATGAAGTCCATGGAGTGCAAGATCAAACTCAAGGAGTGCAGGATAAAGTGAAAAGTATGGGGAAAGACCTCATAGGGTTTGAAAAACAGATTGCTGGACTGGAGAAGCTTCCTTCAGGGACTGAACTGATAGAGAAGACCCAAAGTGGATCAGGCACAGCTGTATCTGACATGTGGCAAATGATGCAGATGCAGAAAAAGATTGAAGCCAGTGAGAATGGAATCAACCAGGTAAGTGAACTTTCCATCTAAGTAATTAAAATGTTAGCAAAATGCAGCTTTATATAGATTCTCAAACAAATACATATAAATGAATGGCTTTCTTTAATAATACACTTTACTGTATTTCAAAGCACATTGTGATTATTCAACTGGGACATTCCAGAATCACATAATCTGCATGTATTGTGAGATAAATGAACCACAACAAAAATGTTGTGCTATCAGATCATGCTCCCTGGTTCCAAATTTCTGATATCACACTTCCATTTGGGTTTGATGTTTGCTTCATACACACTGTAGCTGTTCTTTTTGAATTAAGAATATACTAATAACTTTAGTTTGTAAAGCCAGTGTATGTTTTCTGGTGTGCAGTAGGCTGAGGTTTTTCATTTGTTGGAAAAAAATAAAAACAGTATGAACTAAGAACCCCACCTCTGCCCCTATGAATGACATTCTTTTGGAAGTAAAAAAGAAAGAACCAGAACCACGAGGCAAGAAATTGGGAAAAGTTGAGTTTATAGGTACTGGGTGGGCTAATGCTTTTATACCAGCATCCTCTTTGTAAACAAAACCAGTAATGGCTTTTAATAAGATACAGACATCTGCAAGAATGAACTTGACACAATAATGACACAACACAATACCTTGGCAAAACATTGGTAAAGGGAATACTTGCCAACAATATTTGGGAGATTAAAATAGGAAAATATTCAAGCAGGAATGGCTCCTTTACATACAAAATACTACCCAGCAAGGCAAATTTAGACACTGGGACTCTAAATAGAAACCAGCAACAAATGTCAACATTCAATCAGGGGTTGGTTCTACTTACCTTTACTACTGGTTCACAACGTGATTGTGCAGATTGCCGATGATGACATCCGGGGCGATGGGTGGGGCCTCCCGCCAGTTTTACTACCGGTTCTTGCAAACCCGGGGCAACCCACCACTGCATTCAGTGTAGATACCAAACTGTGGTCTTGTTTGGGAAAATAGTTTGGAGGGAGGGAGAGAATTTATAGCAAGTCTTTTCATAATGCTTTTCTCTGTATTCAATAGTTGATCTTTTGTTTTGCTTTTCTTACTTATTTTTCTCTTTTATATATCATCTTTATCTCAAGATTTTTTTAAAAAAAATAATGGCTACCCTGATGTGGCAGTTGCAAGAATGAGAACAAAACATGTAAGGGGAAATTTCAAAGTCTGTATGATGGAGTTTCTTTATGATTGTTTTGAATTGATTTGGAGAAATCCAAGAGGAAGACTATAATGGTGACAATCCACTGAGAATCAAGTAAAAAGAACATATCTTATTTGATTAATCAGGAAAAAAGATTATGTTTACCCAGTTTTATTATATCATTCTTTGGAAGGAATTTTACATATGGCTCTTTGTTATCAGTTTCTCTAGATAAAGTGTTAATTAAAAATTGGATCATTGGTAGCATTCAGGTAGCAATGAGATTGGCAAAAAACTCTAATCCTGACATATAGTTTTTTCTGGTTTATAAGAAAAAACATTATTTCATTTTTCCTTTGCATATGATCTGATCTGCCCAATCTTTGCTAGTCCAGTGCCCTTTCGATATGCTGGATTATAATACCTGTCCTCCAGACTCAATATGGCCATTAGCTATCCTGGATAGGAATTATTGGAACTGTATATCAGTTATACAGACTTATAAATAAGTCAAAATGTCCTATTTTTTTTTTTAAAAAAAGTTTGCAAAGAAAAAAAGAGAGCCTACCCCCATGCTAATCAAAACTAATTTGACATCTTGTTGTGCCTTAAAAGCTAATCCATTTATTATGGAGTAAGTTTTTATAGACTTTTGTCCTCTTCATTACGTGTGTGAAACATCCTTCCTTCCTTCATTTAGCACTGGCAACAGCATTTAGACTTATATACCGTTTCATAATGCTTTACAGCTCTCTCTAAGCAGTTTATAAATTCAGCATATTGCCACCAACAATCTGGGTCCTCAGTTTACTGCCCTCAGAAGGATGGAAGGTTGAGTAAATCGCAGGGTGGATTTGATTTAAATCAAGTTGATTTAAATCACAATTTAAATCATGATTTAAATCACTAGTAAAAAGGTTTGATTTAAATCAACTCGATTTAAATCATAATTTTTAAAGAGCAACTGTCATCTCTGCTACTCCTTTGACCCACTGTTGACTCACCGATAGTCCCAGTGTTGCAGAATATACAGCCTCATGCTACATAACTAAGCTCCATTTCATGCTGAATAAACTAAATTATTTATGTATCTTGAATAGAAAACTATCTTACAATAGATTTTTACCCCAAAAGTTTTTTATTAAAATAAATTCGATAAAAATAAAAAAAATCCGATTTAAATCAAAAAAATCTGATTTTTTTTATTTTTTAAAAAAAAATCATTGATTTTTATCCACCCTGGTAAACCGTGAGCCAGTCAACCTTGTGCCATTTAAAGCATTTATGTGGCTGCCCAATTTAAGATAATGTGACTCTGGGTTGTATACAAAAGAAAGAAACAGCACTGGCTTGAAGGCACCAAAAAAACTTGTCTCAAAATATGAATTGTATGGGAAGAAGCATGATAAATGGATTCATATCTTTGAAAACATTGTGTTAACTTTTAACTTTGTTGTTTCTTGCATAACTACTTAAAATTTTATCTAGCTGAATGTGATTGTTCTGCCAGAGGACTGAGAATCTAAGGGATTCCAATCAGGCAGGCAGGTATCTATTACAATTAAAGAATAACTCTGACAGGTATAAACCTGGGAGAATGCCAGTAATGCCTGTTCACCCCATCCTCCCTAGTCATCTTTTTTCTTAATTAGAACTGCTGAATCAAAAATAGTTTAACCTCAAGCTGAAGTTATTCAAAGAATGGCTCCCCACAGAGAGAAACCATGCAACAGGTCACTACCGGAGTTATAGCAATGCATTCCGTCTGTAGGAAATTTCCATTTGTTTTAGAGACTTCTGTCAGTATGCCCTGTTGAACCAGGTGAGAGGAATAGGGAACTTGCTCCTCCTCTTGCTGTTTAGAAACTACCATATTTCTTTTGGTGCTGAAATCCCAGAATTTGTTATCACTAGTAGTGAGAGACACTCTCAGTAGAGATTTGCAGGACTAGTCCTACAATTAGGCAGAATGTGGCAGTAGTTCTAATTTGTAGAAACCATAGTCTTCTTAAACAGGCTTACAAATAGTCCTCATTTAGTAACTGCTTCAGTTTAGAGACCGTTCACAATTGCAGCAGTGATGAAAAAGTAAGTATACGACCTTTGCAGATCTACGGTACAAATCAAAGCTGAAGTAAGATCATAAGCACAGTTGTGATTTTACTCGTCGACTGCTTCTCTTAATGACTGAGTAGCCAGTCCAATTGTGGTCACTAAACAAGAACTACCTTTACTAATTTTTATCTCCTGAAGATACAGCTGTTTTTTTGCTTTCTTAACTAACCTCCTATGGTACATGCAGGGCAATGACCCATCAGAAGTACAAATTCTAGTTTTTCTGAATATGGAAATGAAACAGATTAGGAACCTTCTTGGTTCTACCTTCTGATGTCCAGAAACATCTGCTGCACTCCAGAATATAACAATCATCCCTCACGTTAGAAATCTTCTGTATAAAATTCCTAAGGCCCTACTATAATATTAATTAACAATAACAATTTTACTATTTTAATAATAGTAACTTATTAACATTAATAATGCAGTTCAGAAGAAGAACTTGATGTGTAATTGTACAGGCAAATTAAAGTCCTTACATGGCACTTAAGAGAGGAGTCACCTTGAGTAACCTCATTATCTTTAATCCCAATTCTATTCAGTGACATTGATTCCCAAAGAAGCGAGTGGTCTTGCAAGCTGAACCTTGGTTTCTAAGGCTTTTGGGTGTACATTGAAAAGTTCTATGTTGTGGGGAAAGATTTAGAAAAAGTCAGATCTATCTATATATATAAAAGCAAAAACCACTCACGTCATAATCACGAAATCTCCAGAACCATAAAGCCTACAAACTTGAAATTTGCCACGTATGTTCCTCTTGGCTTCTAGGTGCTCACTAATAAAGGGTTTTCCAAAATGACCATCAGAGCATTAATATTTCCTATATTATTAATTAGTTAGATGTTCTACTCCCTCTCTCAACTTGAAAATAAATCTGGAGAGAATGGGATAGCATAGGACAGCTTCTGTGGGGCAAGCCTGAGGGAGAGAAGGGGCTAGGAAGCCTGAGGGAGAGAAGGGGATAGGATAGGAGATGTTTCTGTGGGGCAAGGCTGAGGGAGAGAAGGGGAGAGGAGAGGCCGATCGTAACTACTCATTAATTTTCAAGCTGTAAGTGTCCATTTATCAAGCTCTATCACATAGTTTCGTTGTGAAGCACAGGGATCCAGCTAGTATATCTATATCTATATTCAAATTGAGTGGTCATGATGGTGCAAAACCTCACTGTGTGAACATTGAATTAATGAATGGCAAATGTTATGTCCAGTGGTACCAAGCAAAGTTCTGGGAAGGCATGTCTGCACTTGATTTCTTAATAAGATGCCTGGTGCTTTGATTGGTAACAGACTCCTAGGTAACAAATGCATTGAAGTGAGAAAAAAAAACTCAAAAGATTTGTGGTCTTACAATTCTCTATTAGATCTAGAATCTAGATAGAGATGTTGTTATTTCCTTTAGATAAGGACATAGGCCATAAGTAACTATATCTGAGATTTTTAAAAAATCCTCAGATCTTTTTAAATCTAGTCCACATGGCTTGTATGAGACATCATAGTTGTAGTATAGGTTATTCATCTTTACTGTAGACTAAAGCAGAATTCCTTCTCTTGAGTCCTTCAGACATGTTGGCTTATTATTTTCTAGTTTCCTGGCTCACATGATGAAACAATTAGTTTTTTAAACTTTAATTTATGTTTTGGTGGCTCATTTGAGAAACATAGTTGCTAATGAAAACTAGATAGCCTTCTGTGCAAACCCATTGCATTGGTTGATAGACTCTCTGATAGTCTGGCTGCAACCAACTTTCCTTCAAATCATCTTGCTGTTCTAGCAACACTACAGTATTTAGGGAGAGAAAGGGGTGATAGTTCTCTCTCTGTTCTCATCCTGCTGCATGTTTCAAATAAAGTACCTGCAATGACTCTTAGGAAGCATTTACTGTATCTGTGTCTAGCTCTCTGGGTGGCTCTCCCATTGTAAACAAGTAAATAGACCTGTGTTCGAAGTAGGGATACCAACTGAGTAAATCCCTTTTCCTTCCAAAGTAACATTTTGTTAGTAGCACTTCTGCATCTATGGGATAGCAGAATGCATAGCAAAATACTCTTCCAATGAATGGTATCTTAAAATGGCTAAACCTGAGTATATCACAAGCTGGGCTTCTAAATCTTGCAAAAATCTTATATGTTTAGTATTTAAATTAATTTAATTTAAAAAGTAGAATCCCATCTTTGAAAACAACCATCTTTGATGTATAGTTAGTATATATAGTTTTTGACAGTATAGTTTTGATTTCTCAAGACATCTTTTTTTTTCTTCTCAAGATTTCTGATTTTTTAAAAAAAAATGTGTGTGGCTATTTGAAGATTACATTGAATGGAAGTGTTCATCTTCAGTGAATGTTGTTGGTCTCAGCTGCCAGTGGCTTCCTTGTTCTCCCTCCAAGACCTGTTCCAGCAATTGGAACATGCTGTTCTCCCCTAAGAGAGAAACACCTATTGGGGTTTATTCCCTTTTGGCTGAGAGAGAACTCAGGGAACTTAATTTGAATATGTTGCTGCTGTGAATATTCTCTCTGCTTATTTGGTTAAAAATTATTTTGATTCTGGAGGGGAAGCTGAGGCCTCATCTTCAAAAGTAGAATTTGGTGGAATACTTTCTAATACCTTCAGTAACTTCACATTAATTTCCAAAGAATGATCAATACAGAGACCTAGATTCATCCTGAAAATGCATTAATTTTTCCTTAAGAATAAAAATCTGCATTTTCCTGACTTCCTTTCCTTCTTTTGCTGCATTTTAGCTGGGAGGAAAAGCATTCTTTCATACAGTCCCCTATCAACTGCTTTAAAATAAGGTTAGTTTGTGAGCTCTAAACATAGATTTCCCATAGTATGTTTGTTTGGTTTCAGGCCTCAGAAACATGAGTCAGACAAGGGCTAAACTGGAGATCATCCTTAATCAATGGTTTAAGGAATGAATACATTCATCTTTCACTTTCTCACTCTCTTCCTTTTGTAGGCTATGTCTCTGTTACAAGATTTAGTGGATGAGACGAGCAACATGAAATCAGCCACAGGCAACTTGGAGGATGAAGTAAAAAAAATCAAGGAGCACTTAGCTGTGGTAAGCAGCTTTTATTTTTGTCTCTTGGCCCTGCAAGCCTTTGGGAGTTGGCTGCATATGTTCAAGACTTGGTTGTTTAGTTCTTTCTTAAAACCTCAGGGATCTAGATTTTACCACTTTGGTAGTCTGACTAGGTACTTTAGTCTGCACTCATTTCCAAATGAAGACACACATTCATGCACATGTAAACACATATAAGGAACAGCTATATTTGGCTTAATTCCTATATAGAGAGCAAGGGTAGGTTGAATTCTTTGTTACTTTTCAACAAAAGATTACAAATCAGGGTAGGAGCAACAGTTCAAATGCTTTGTTTTGTTTTGGGGGCCTGAAATCACAGGCTAATCCGTACAAAGAACTACAGGTAATCCTTAATTTATAACGATTCATTTAGTGACCATTCAAAGTTACAAACTGAACAGCACTGAAAAATGTAATTTATGACTATTTTCCACACCTACAACCAGGGGTGGGTTCTACTTATCTTTACTACCAGTTTGCAGTGGGGCCGCGTGCACACGCTTGCTTTGCTCGCGCACACGTGTGCTCTTTTGCACAAGCACAGAAACTTCTGCGTATGTGCAGAAGCATTTTGATGACGTCGGGGTCAGTGGACGGAGCCTCCCGGCGGTTTTACTACCAGTTCTATAGAACCGGTGTGAACCAGGGGCAACCCACCACTGCTTACAACCATTGCAGCATCCCCGTGATCAAAATTCGGAAGTTTGGCAAATGGTTTGTGTTTATGATGGTTGCAGTGTCCCAGGATCATGTGATCACCTTTTGTGACCTCCTGACAAGCAAAGTCAATAGGGAAGCCAGATTCACTTAACAACCGGGTTACTAAGAACTGCAGTGATTCACTTAACAAACTGTGGCAAGAAACGTATAATGGGGCAAAATTCACTTGACTAATGTCTTGCTTAACAGCATAAATTTTGCACTCAATTGTGGTCGTAAGTCAAGGATCACCTGTACGCTGAGTTCATGATTTTTCCAGAAATTATTAGGGTGGGGTATACATGCACATTTTGACAAAAGTAGTGTGGGATATAAACTATCCTACAACAGCCCTGAATTGATCAAGTTCCTAAACAGTTTGGTGTGTGTGTGTGTGTGTAAGTGCCCACTAGAGTTAATCAGAGTTTCCCTATCTTGTCTGAAAATTGAAAGAGATTATTTTATCAGTACTGCATTGGGGAGACAACTGTAGGTCAGAAACTCCCAAACTCTTCAGTTTCTCAACCCCTTCATGAAATTTCAGATTGTTCATTGAGTTTCAAATATTTATTTTATGAAAATAATGTAATAAATAGTACTTTAACTAATATTACTACAAACAACAACAATAATAATAGGCGCCTTGGGCAATACCACCTTTGAACAACATCAAAGAACATTTGCCTATTCCAGGATTCTAGGAAAGATTCCAGAGATGAATAAAAATGCCAAATCCAGTTTAAGCATTTGGTTGACTATGGGACCAATCATAATGATAATAATGACTACATGTGGCAATTATTGGCTGTAAGAAAAGCCAAGAACCCTTGCTAAAAGAAGTCAGTCAAGGAAAGCTCTTGAAAACAACAAAGGTGAAAGCTGAATCTAGGGAAAAAAATTGAAAATGAATTTGTTAATTGGAAGGACGAGCCAATGGCCAATACTTGAAAGATACTGAAAAAAAGCGGATTTTAAAAATCCACATGGTTAAGATCAGGAACATTTAAAAAAGAAACTGAAGGCTTTATTTTAACTGCTTAAGGTTTGTCAACTAATTGCATGAAGGGGGGCCTGGTGGCTCAGCAGACTGATAGCATTGTGATTAACACCAGTTGTCTGCAATTACTGTAAGTTCGAATCTCACCAGGCTCAAGGTTGACTCAGCCTTCCATCCTTTCTAAGGTAGGTAAATTGAGGACCCAGTTTGTTGGGGCAATAAACTGACTTTGTATAAAATATACAATAGTATGAAGGCTATTGCTTAACGCATTGTAAGCCGCCCTGAGTCTCCGGAGAAGGGCGGCATATAAATCAAATTTAAAAAAAAATATTGCCTTTCTGGTGATCAGTCGGCTGCAGCAAAATTTTATAAAGTGACTACAAGTAGAGTTGTAAATTATTTATTGAAAACTTTTGCCACAAGTTATATTAAAAATTTCTGGGACCATTATATTGAGGTTTTGGAAAATGACCAGGTTCAAATTTATGGGACTTCAAGATCCAAACAGACATGCATCTTGTTCATAACATGGTTGATATAAAACAGTTCTTGAAAAGAAGAAAGTCTAGTTCATTGATGTCACTATAACAGTGATACTACTGGTAGGATTGAGGAAAAACAATTGGAAAAATTTACAAAAATGGGGGCTGACAAATCAAAGTTGAACACTTATGGAAAAAGAAATTAGTTGTTATACCAATTGTGATGAGAGTCATCAGAGCAATGCCTAAAAGACTCCCTCATTATCTGTCAATATTGAATTTATCAAACCCAAACTCTATAATTTTACAAAAAAAGAATACCCTGCTTAGAACTGTTTATACTCTTAGACGTTATTTATATTGGTAGTTGTTTATATTTTTGAGTAACATTAAATGAACTGTACTCTAGAGCTGTTCCTTGAGACCAATTTATCCCCTGGTGCTTGTTTTTGTTTCTTTGCACTCTGGGATTAAAGATGCTTACTCTCCCCCTCCCCCTCCCCGATTTATAAGAGAAAAAAATGGCCCCCAGAGCAATACACTTACTTTGACTTAGGCATTCTTTTTTTTTTTTTTGCTTGAATTTTCCCTATGTGATATTTAATATATCTTTATGACATGTTTAGTACTTATTCATAAACACATCTTACATTTGAATAAAAAGGGTAATCCAAACTTTTATTTCATTTTGCAGCTAGATCCTCGTGGGTTTGATGATCGTTTAAATGTTTGCCTGAGCGATCAGAGTAGCTTGGATCACGATTTGGTATGTTCTTGCCTTCTACAGAAAAGGAATTTTTGTGCCAGCTCACACACACACACCTTAGTGGTTGTGTAAAATCTGAAGTATCTGAAGCAGTTTATCCAGTTGCCCCAGTTGCTCTGTGTTAACTACATCTTTCATCCTGGTCTGAAGCTATTTTAGTGTGCAAGCTTGGCATTGTTACTCTCTTGCATTATCAGTTTCACTTTATAGAAAGCTGCCAGAGTTCATGCAGATGAACTCTGACAGCACCCTCCAGTGCTTCTGCTGCAAATTAATGGCACGAGAAACTCCACATCTCATTTGTGATCTCCAGGTTCACTGTTTACAGCTCTCTGAATTGCTACATAGTCATTTTTTTGGCAAAGTCTCAGCACATTGGCAGGTCCTAACAAAGCAAGGCTGTCATTCATTCAAATAATCTTCTCCATGTTTTTTCTTGTTATGATGTCATTGTACCGATGATATGATTTTGTAACTGGCGTCATTTTCATTATTACAATTGACAAAAGTATGTAAAGTTGCATATTTGAGTCATGACATCATGACATATGTGCTTTCAGGGATGTCTGTGATGATAATCCCTGCTGATGGTTTTAAATTAGATTTAACACAAAAAGAACAAGGAACTGGGAAGAAAAGGACAATAAGTCCTGGAGCACCTAATTGCTGGATGATTTGCTTCCTTATTTGATGCTCTTATCTAAAGTAATTCCCTGGGCTTCCAAATTCCTAATTAAGAAGGAATGATAGTCAACAGAATGTATGGGACAGAAAGGATGATTTTCATATGTTTTGGTTTTGATTCTTTTCTAGAAAGATTTAGAGAGGAGGTTAAACCAATTCCCATCTCCAGAAGAAATGGTACGGTGGGAAGTTCTTGAAGATATCCTTGTGAAGGGCAAGAGCCCATCTCCTGTGAGTATGGTTTAATTAGAATGTCATGTTTCCATAATGACTTCATGCTAAAAATAAGCTGTGATAAACATAGGTTATCAACATGTACCACATTTGGAGAAATAAAAATCCCAAAATAAGTTTGATATTTGGTACTGTTGCCTATTTTCTTGTACATTACAAATTTAATTGCTCTTTCTGATATGAAAGAGTTATCAGACATGGACTGTGCAATCTCTCTCTCCTCCTTAATTCTTGAAGAAAGAAGGAACCTTCTGTATTATTCATCCAACAATTTATAAGTACAGCATAATGGCCAAAATTTATATAGAGATATAAAGGACAACATTTGTCCTCTCCCAGTCAATTGACACTTCATATTTCTCGAAGACCTCTCATATCAATACATAATAGTTTGCTCTGGCTATTAGCAAATTGCTTTAATACTCTAATATTAATCTGGATGTTGACATTTAAACTAATTAGAAATAGATATTCCCTAATATATTTCTATCAGTCTCAACATTCAGCCTTACCTCTTCAACCTGCTCTTTGCATTTGCCTGAAGGAACAAATATTTTATTTTATTTTTTATTTTATTTTATTTCGAATTTATATACCGCCCCTTCTCCCGAGGGACTCAGGGCGGTGTACAGCCAGATAAAAACATACAATACAAACATTAAAAACAATTAAAAGAATATATATTAATTTGGCCCCAGTTTAAGATGACAAACCAATTAAAAATATTTAAAAATATGTTAAGCCAGCCTGGCTTGCTGAAAAAAGAAAGTTTTAAGGGCACGGCGGAAGGCACCGAGGTCTTGGATTCTCCTTATCTCGGGGGGCAGCTGGTTCCATAGGGTAGGTGCCCCCACAGAGAAGATCCTCCCCCTGGGGGTCACCAGCCTACATTGTTTGGCTGATGGCACCCCGAGGAGGCCCTCTCTGTGGGAGCGCACGGGTCCCAAATATGCTTTTGCTGGTCAAGGCTGAACCGAAAGTAAGAACTGAACTGTTTTGGGTTGTTTTGTTTTTGTTTTTTTGCTTTGTTTTGTTTCACATTTTGTTATCTCCCCTTTTAGGAGATGGGGTACTTTTTGCAGTCTTTATCCAACAGTTGCTGTAATAATTCTTTTCTCTCTTTTTTTTTTTTTTGTCTGTACCTAAAAAAAGACACTTTGTGGTTTTAGCATTCTTTATCAATCTTGGCTCATGCTGACCTTTACCTCCCCTTATATCTTTCCATACTTCTATACTGCCTGTCTTTTTTTCCATAGTAATCAGCCCCTTTGTACTGCTTACATGCATGTTGTTTTTTAAAGCTCTTCCTCAGTTACCTTTTCATTCATTCATAATTATTTTCCCTATAATATACCTTATACCTTCCCTATAATATACTATAATTTCCTCAGTGAAATAATCCTAATGAGTTAGTATCAAGTTGAGGAAATTTCATCCTCCTGTCTTCTTCCCTTTGAAGGATAAATCAGTAATTTCCTGAAAGGACTGTACTAGATGGAATCCATCTCCCTACAGATGTTGGGATCTGTATCCCAAATGTTGGGATAATTACAGTTTCTCATCAATACTACTATGTGTTTCTTTAAGAGAACTATAATTTTTTTTTGGGAGGCATAAGCTTCATCTCCTATTTGATCAGGCAATAGTATATGCAACATTATTACAGAATAAGAGAATAACAGAGTTGCAAGGGACCTTGGAGATCTTCTAGTACAACCCCATGCTCAAGCAGGAGACTCTATACCATTTCAGACAATGATTGTCTAATCTCTTCTTAAAAATCTCCAGTGTTGAAGCACCCACAACTTCTGAAGGTAAGTCATTCCACTGATTAATTGTTCTGTCAGGAATTTCTTCTTAGTTCTAAGATACTTCTCTCCTTGATTTATTTTCCTTTAATTGCTTCTTCTCCTGCCTTCAGGTGCCTTGGAGAATAGGTTGACCTGCTCTTCTTTGTGGCAGCCCCTTAGATATTGAAACAGTGCTATCATATAGCCCATAGTCCTTCTTTTCATTAAACTAGACATACTCAATTCCTGCAACCATTCTTTGTATGTTTAGCCTCCAGACCCCCCAATCATCTTTGTTGCTTTTCTCTACACACTTTCTAAGGTCTCAACATCTTTTTTAATATCATGGTAACCAAAACTTGATACAATATTTCAAGTATGGTCTTACCAGGGCATTATAAAGTAGTATTAACTCTTCATATGATCTTGATTCTGTACCTTGGTTAATGTAGCCTAGGTCTGCATTGGCTTTCTTGGCAGGTGCAGCACACTGCTGGCTTATATTTAACTGATTGTCCACTAGGACAAGATCCCTCCCGCAATTATTACTATTGAGCCATATAAAACCTATTCCATACCTATGCATTTGGTTTTGCTTTCCTAAACATGGTTTAGTTTTTCCCCTCTTATTGTAATTCAAACATTTTCTATGGTATCATCAAGTTTATTCACTTGAATTTTAACCATACAGTGCTAAACCATACCATGTTAATTCTCCTTTTCTATTGCTCATTTTACTTGTGAAAGTGTATCCTTCAGTTCCTATATTTCTGAATAGAAATCATCCTACTGGGTTGCTGTTATATCTAGAAATTATGTTTGCTTTCTTTAGGGAAGACTTCAAAGACAATTATTTATTATACAAAGAGCATTAGTGTATAGATAATGAATGTATATAAAATAAATGCACTTTGTCCTCCTATTACCAGTTCAGATGCCCTCCTACTTCTGCTGTGGTGGTATACAAGTTTATGGAGACCTTTAATGGATACTACTGAGTAATAGAGCATTTAGAGAGAATTTCATTGGGGATGTAATTCTCTTATCCTTTCAAACAAGTTTTATTGATGGTTTAGAGAAAAGGTCACCTATTCAAATCAATAAATTCTTTGATTGGTGTGGCTGTTACTATGCCATTTAGCTTTGGGTAAATTAAAGATGTAAGAATATATTGCTTGAGTGACATCTTCTCACATCGTTATTACACTTTTCCACTGAGAAATTTAGGGTAGCCATTTATTCTCACAACAGCTCTGCAAAAATGAGTGAGGCTGTAGTAAAGTGACTGAGCTAGTAAGCCAGGCTGATTAGGGACTCTACTTCTTGATCTGAACACTCACTTTTATTCATCTGTGACCAAGGATCAAAAGCCATGCCAAATTCTATCTGAAATTGTTCACATTCTCTAATTATGCACCTGCACTGTTTAATCATATAGAGTTATAATAATATTGTCAGTGAAAGAAAATTGCACTTTTTAAAATATAGCTAAAGATTAGCTATGTAGTGTTTTAATAATCATTTTTTTCCTTGTCTTTCACCTGTTATTAAATCTATCCCCTTTCCATTTTCCTTTTAGCAGACAAGTCCAGTCCAATACTCTCCAACTGGTTCAACCTCACCAGAAGGCAAAACTCTGGGATCTCCAGAAACTCAGCCTGGCACTGCTACCCAGAGAACACAAGGAGGCCCGAGGCCACCAACTGGACTACCAGGGACCCAGACAGGAGCACCAGGGGCTCCAAGTGGAGCAGCTGTCCCTGGAACACAGCCAGGCATTGCTGGGGCTCCAGGACCACTTGGACCTCAGCTTGGAGCATCTGGGGCATATCCTGGGGCACCTGGAACCCAGGCTCCCTTTCCTGGAGCACCTGGAACGTATCCCGGGGCACCTGGAACACAGGCTCCCTTTCCTGGAGCACCTGGGACCTATCCTGGGGCACCTGGAACCCAGGCTCCCTTTCCTGGAGCACCTGGAACGTATCCCGGGGCACCTGGAGCCCAGGTTCCCTTTCCTGGAACACCTGGAGCCCAGGCTCCCTTTCCTGGAGCACCTGGAACGTATCCCGGGGCACCTGGAGCCCAGGCTCCCTTTCCTGGAACACCTGGGACCTATCCCGGGGCACCTGGAGCCCAAGCTCCCTTTCCTGGAGCACCTGGGACCTATCCCAGGGCACCTGGAGCCCAGGCTCCCTTTGCTGGAGCACCTGGGACCTATCCTGGACACCTGGAGCCCAGGCTCCCTTTCCTGGAGCACCTGGGACTTATCCTGGGACACCTGGAGCCCAGGCTCCCTTTCCTGGAGCACCCGGGGCATATCCCGGGGCACCTGGAGCCCAGACCCCTTTTCCTGGAGCACCCGGGGCATATCCTACGGCCCAGGCTCCCTATCCTGGTATACCTGGGGCTCAAGCTCCATATCCTGGAGCTCCAGGAGCCCAGCCTGGAGTTCCCGAGACCCAAGCACTCTATCCTGGAGCCCAGCCTGGAGATCCTGGAGCACAAGGCCCTTATCCTGGGGGACCTGAGGCCCAGCCTGGAGCTCCTGGAGCCCAAGGCCCTTATCCTGGGGGACTGGGGCCCAGCCTGGAGCTCCTGGAGCCCAAGGCCCTTATCCTGGGGGACCTGGGGCCCAGCCTGGAGCTCCTGGAGCCCAAGGCCCCTTATCCTGGGGGACCTGGGGCCCAGCCTGGAGCTCCTGGAGCCCAGCCTGGAGTTCCTGGAGCCGAACCACCCTATCCTGGAGCACCTGGGGCCCAGCCTGGAGCTCCTGGAGCCCAGCCTGGAGTTCCTGGGGCCCAACCACCCTATCCTGGAGCACCTGGGGCCCAGCCTGGAGCTCAAGGCCCTTATCCTGGGGGCCTGGGGCCCAGCCTGGTGCTCAAGGCCCTTATCCTGGGGGACCTGGGGCCCAGCCTGGAGCTGCTGGAGCCCAACCACCCTATCCCGGAGCACCTGGGGCCCAGCCTGGAGCTCAAGGCCCTTATCCTGGGGGACCTGGGGCCCAGCCTGGAGCTCCTGGAGCCCAACCACCCTATCCCGGAGCACCTGGGGCCCAGCCTGGAGCCCAAGGCCCTTATCCTGGGGAACCTGGGGCCCAGCCTGGAGTTCCTGGAGCCCAACCACCCTATCCCGGAGCACCTGGGGCCCAGCCTTGGAGCCCAAGGCCCTTATCCTGGGGAACCTGGGGCCCAGCCTGGAGCTCCTGGAGTTCCTGGAGCCCAACCACCCTATACTGGAGCACCTGGGGCCCAGCCTGGAGCTCCTGGAGCCCAAGGCCCTTATCCTGGGGGACCTGGGGCCCAGCCTGGAGCTCCTGGAGCCCAGCTTGGAGCTCCTGGGGCCCAAGCACCCTATCCTGGAGGCCAGCCTGGAGCTCCTGGAGCCCAAGGCCCCTATCCTGGGGGACCAGGGGCCCAGCCTGGAGCTCCTGGAGCCCAGCCTGGAGTTCCCGGGACCCAAGCACCCTATCCTGGAGCCCAGCCTGGAGCTCCTGGAGCCCAAGGCCTTATCCTGGGGGACCTGGGGCCCAGCCTGGAGCTCCTGGCGCCCAAGGCCCCTATCCTGGGGAACCTGGGGCCCAGCCTGGAGCTCCCGGAGCCCAGCCTGGAGTTCCCGGGGCCCAAGCACCCTATCCTGAAGCCCAGCCTGGAGGTCCTGGAGCCCAAGGCCCTTATCCTGGGGTACCTTGGGCCCAGCCTGGAGCTCCTGGAGCCCAAGGCCCTTATCCTGGAGCACCTGGGGTCCAGCCTGGAGTTTCTTGGGCCCAAGCACCCTATCCTGGAGCCCAGCCTGGAGGTCCTGGAGCCCAAGGCCCTTATCCTGGGGTACCTTGGGCCCAGCCTGGAGCTCCTGGAGCCCAAGGCCCTTATCCTGGGGGACTTGGGGCCCAGCCTGGAGCTCCTGGAGCCCAAGGCCCTTATCCTGGAGCACCTGGGGTCCAGCCTGGAGTTTCTTGGGCCCAAGCACCCTATCCTTGGAGCCCAGCCTGGAGGTCCTGGAGCCCAAGGCCCTTATCCTGGGGAGGCTGGGGCCCAGCCTGGAGCTCCTGGAGCCCAACCACCCTATCCTGGGGGACCTGGGGCCCAGCCTGGAGCTCCTGGAGCCCAACCACTGTATCCTGGGGCACCTGAGGCCCAGCCTGGAGGTCCTGGGGCCCAGGTCCCTTATCTGGGAGCGCCTGGGGCCCAGCCTGGAGGTCCGGGAGCCCAAGTCCTTTATCCGGGAGCCCAGCCTGGAGGTCTGGGAGCCCAAGGCCCTTATCCTGGTGCACCTGGGGCCCAGCCTGGAGGTCCTGAAGCCCAACCACCCTATCCTGGGGCACCTGGGGCCCAGCCTGGTGTTCCTGGAGCCCAACCACCCTATCCTGGGGCACCTGGGGCCCAACCTGGAGGTCCTGGAGCCCAACCACCCTATCCTGGAGCACCGGGAGTTCAATCTGGGGGTCCTGGAGCCCAACCCCCCTATCCTGGAGCTCCTGGGGCCCAGCCTGGAGGTACTGGAGTTCCTGGGGCCCAAGCCCCCTATCCTGGGGCACCTGGAGCGCAGGCTCCATATCCTGAGGCAGCTGGAGCTCAAGTTCTGTATCCTGAGGTTTCAGAGGCCCAACCTGGAGCTCCTGGGGCTCAACCACCCTATCCTGGGGCACCTGGAGCCTATCCTGGGGCCCAAGTTCCATATCCTGGTGTTCCATGGCCCCAGGCTGGGGTGCCTGGAGCACAGCCTGGTATTGCTGGGGCCCAACCTGGAGTTTCTGAAGGCCAACCCCCCTACCCTGGGGCACCTGGGACCCAAGTTCCATATCCTGGGATTCCAGGGGTCCAACCTGGGGCTCCTGGAGCCCAGCCTGCTGTTCCTGGGGCCGAGCCTGGAATTCCTGGAGCCCAGTCCCCCTATCCTGGAGTACCTGGGCTCTATCCCGGAGCACCTGGGGCTCAAGCTCCATATCCTGCTGGGGCCCAACCTGGTGCTGCTGGGACTCAACCTGGTGCTGCTGGGACTCAACCTGGTGCTGCTGGGGTCCAACCTGGTGCTCCTGGGGCCCAACCTGGTGCTCCTGGGACTGAGGCAGAGTATCTTGGTGCCCCTGGGGTTCAGCCAGTCTATCCTGGAGCTTTAGCTTGGACACAACCCGGATATCCTGGCCCCCCTGGATTCTATCCTGGAGCCCCAACTGGATCTCCTGGCCAGCCTGGAGGGCCTGGGCTCTTTCCACCTGGATATCAACCTCCTGCCTTACCTGCTGCTCCAGCAGGCCAATTGACTGTGCCACCTGTGCTAGGTGTTCGAGCTGCACCCCCATCATCTCCCCTCTTCCCCTCCACTACTCCTATGGGGTATTCTGAGACCCCCTCCTCTTCAACCAATTTGGCTCCAACTCGCTATGCGGAGACGTTAGATGCCCTGCGCTCCCTTTCACAGCTGAATGACCTCTACCAAACTCTCAGAGACCAAATCGCCATGCTGGACTACTACAAGTGTGGCCATTCTGATCTCCGCAGGCTACAGGACTTCCTCACTGATGCACGTACGGACTGCATGTGCATGTAACCCCCCTCACCTCATGTTATAATATAATTCTTTCCTTGAAGCTCATCTGATACCCCGAGAACATATGTGAAGAAGACAAGTGCAGTAACAGTGAACCTTTTGGGCTTGGCATGTCAAAAATTCAGAAAATGCCTAATTTGACTCTGCTGGCATGTCATCCCGTCCTACCTCCCACCCGAAATTAAAGAAAAACAATTATCTTGCCCTGCTTCGTCTAGCCATCACAAACTGCGGCATTCAGTGGTAGGGCTGAGGCTGACCCTGAAATAGAGGCCCAGACTTTAGCCCTAGCGCCACCATTGCCATTCAAAATGGCCATGGTTGCCCCTGCAGTATGGCACTTCCTGGGATCTGCCATGCCCTGTTTACCTTACCTTACTCTTTCTGCTGACAGACCCCTGCGGCCTACCCCTGTGAGGCTGCTCCTGGTTGCACAAGGCCTTCATTCTTGAAGTGGCATTGGACAATGCTCTTCCATGGCCTCTGCAGCCTCCAGAAACCACACAAAATCACTTTCCATTCACACAATTTTGGAGTGCTCTGGAGGTTGAGCAAGAGCATAGGTGACTTCTGGAGGGTCTGGAGACTATACAAGAGCACACACCATTCTCATGCGGCCTCCAAAAATCACACAAGAATGGGGTGTGTTTTTGAGAAACCTTGTTGGGTATTGGTAAACACTGGTATGTCCTCAAAAGTGTTGTGGCATGTCACCTTTCGCACAGATGTCATAGGTTCACCATCACTGACCTACAGATTGCTGAAGTATTTTTGAAAAGTCTGGAGATTCTCAGTCATCCAGGTCATGGTTGTCCCAAAGGTGCTTTTTCAAGAGGCAAACAGAAAGTCCAGTTGCCTCTTAAAAAAACACCTTTGGGATATTTTTGAAAAGCAAAATTGTCGTCTTCATCATCATTCCATATATTTTGTGGGAGCAGAGGGGGATGAGGTCAGCATATTTTAATCACAAGAGGCCAGGATCCTTTTGAAGGAGTGAATCTCATAGTATTGATAAAAAGGAAAGGAGCCCCCAAAACAGCTTGTCCATGCATCCTGCTTATGGGAACACCGCACTAACATTTTCTCTAAAATGGGGCCTCACAGCATAGCTTTTGTCTCATTGCCAGTCCACCACTGAAGTAATCTAAAGTCACTACCAGCCTTACTCCCATTCTCAAGGAAGGAAGGAAATTATATTTCTAGGGCTATCTAGATGAGCTGTAAGATTTAACCTGTTCTCAAATTGTAAAGAATGCTACTACTTTGAAACAGGTGGGGAGGAAACAGAACTTTGAAAAGATGGGGAATGGGATAGTGGGCCTAGGCCTGGCTGATTATATATTATTTTGTTGCAAAATCTACCTGAGCCATACTCATAGCTTTTTTCCTCCTTATTTCTCAATAGTTTATAAGACCTTTGCTACCATCCCACCTAATCTGTCAGAAAAACTTGATGCTATGCGTTCCTTGGAAGAAGACTTCAAATCTGAGAAAGAGGTGGTAAGTGGAGAAGGAGCATCAGGCGGTGAGAATGGCTGCTTTCAGATTTTCCAAGGAGATTGTGCTTTAGAAGGCTATCTAGAACATGGAAGCTGAATGACTCATTGTTTAAAGTGCTTTATTGAGTACAGATAGTCCTCAACTTACAACAGTACATTTAATGATAGTTCAAAGTTACAATGGCACTGAAAAAAGTGACGACCATTTTTCAGTTACAACTTTTGAAGAATCCCCATAATCATGTGATTCAAATGCTTGGCAACTGGTTCATATTTATAACTATAGCTGTGTCCCAAGGTCATGTGATCACCATCTTTTGACAAGCAGAGTCAATGGGGAAGGCAGATTCACTTAGCAACCAGGTTACTAACTTACCAAGTGCAGTGATTCACTTAACAACTGTGGCAAGAAAGGTTGTCAAATGGGACAAAACTCACTCAACAAATGTCTCACTTAACAACAGAAATGTTGGGCTCAATTGTGGTAGTAAGTCGAGGACTACCTGTAATTGATACATAATGCATTGAATTCTATTTTAAAACTAATGGGATCTTTTGTTACAATATTTTTTTAAAGGAGGTTGTATCTGTAATCAATAGCTTTCTAACCTAAATATATTATGAAGCTCCCTGTAGTTATTTTTGGCTTTATTATCCAGTCTTGAACTGTGATCCCTTTTAATGGAAGGTGAGATGTTTTTATGCTTAAATATTTGGTTTTGAGACTAAGCACAGACAGCGTTTTGCTGAATATGTCAAGTCAAATCCTGATTACTATTTGAAGACATTGCAGTGATCATCAGTTCAGGCTTTGGGTCTCTTAAAAATATGGGCTGGGTTTATGACTCTATTACAGCATGTCAGAGAAAGCTACTTGTTTTTGGAGGCAGGGATTTTGTGAAAGACACCCCACCCCCTCTGCAGTGCCTCTGCCTTCTGATGTGATGTCATTCTATGCAGCCAGATGCTGCTTTTGATTACTGCTCCTTCTTTTAAAAATGAGTCCTTTTTTTTGTTATTAATCCTGTACCAGACAGCTTCTTTCAAATTTGCAATGCTCAAATAGCATTTCAGTCAGGGCAGATTAGCCAGAAATATTGGCCTAGTAGAAATTGCATGTTAAGTGACTACATGCTTTTAATAAGACCTTATACTGAGTGAGATCATAAATTCACCTAGTTTAATATTGTCTACTCCATTTGGCAGCAATTCTCAGTTTTTCCCAGCTCTGCCTGGAGGTGCCAAAAACTGAAGCTGGAATCTCCTGCATAGGTCATCTAACAACAGATCTGATTTTCGTCTTTCTTTTCTGGCTTCTGCTGTTGCCCTTGGGCATCAAGAATAAGACTGTGAGGACAGACCGCAGCTAGTCTTGCCTTGCCCAATTTTCCACTTTCTTTGCTTTCCCATTGGGCATTGCAGGTCACAGGCTATATAAAGATTCCATTTTATTCCTAATGAAAACTGTTGAGAATATTCAGCCTAAAGCCTGATTGACCTGTTTATGTTATCTGCTTTGGAGAGCTGGGTTAGTTCATCTTTGCTTTTAGCTGCTCTGATTTTGTTAGCATTCCAAGATAGCCCAGATAAGAAGCATGGCTATAATTATTAGCTCTGCCTTAATTGTAAGGTTGTGTTAATATAATTTTGCAAGCCTGAAAGTAACTCTCCCTTTTTTCACTTTACTCTCCCCCAAATTAAGGAGGTCCCTTCTGAAATGCGTACATCACCCTTCCTTCTCTCAGTCTCAAATTTTGTTTACCAGACCATTATTTAAGCTAGGGGTGTCAAACTCGTGGCCCGTGGGCCAGGTGCTGGCCATGTCCACCTGCGGTTTAGCGAAGCAGAAAAAAGTAGAGATATATCACGTGACGACAGTGTGGTGCTGCAAGTTTGACACCCCTAGTTTAAGCCATAGCTCTTCCCTCTGTCTCCCAAGGTCATTCTCACTTATCATTACTGATTTAGATATCACAGCAAGGCTGGCATTTTTCAGTACACCACTGCAAGTAATCCTTTATTCTCCCTTTGGCAAGAGATTTTGCCTGACTCCATGTCCTAGGCTTAAATAAATAAATAAGATGATCATAACTTCCTTTACAGAGTCTCAGCATCCTGTTCCCACATCAGGGAAAGGAATCCTAGCAGTTTGTTTTCTTTTTGTGTAAAGTGAAAGCAAGCAGATTTTTGAAACTGATAATACTTCAAGGGGTGGGAATGGACATTGATTGGATTATGAGATGAGATTAGGCATTTCTTCTGGTTGGTCAGTCACCTCAAGGAAAAGAGAAAGAACACTGGCTGACACTTGTGTTGGCAGACAATTGCAGATTGGTTCCAAACTTTGGGGAGCTGCAAAAAACTACTTTTATGGAAGTGTTGTAGCTTCAGTCTAGCAGAATTGGAAGCATGTGATTCTAATTTGTAGTTAAGCATTTTGCATGTATTTGAACTGTTGGGCATTCTAGAATAGGTCACCATCATCCTTTACTCATTGGATATCCTCCCAGATGGCTAGGAATAAATTCCTTTGTTGACTAGCAGTTCTAAGAATTGTAATCCAACATATTTACAGGTTGTCAGGCTGAAGGCTGTAGAACAGTTATACTCTGTGGAGCTGTGCAGTGCATTGGTTCTGATTCAGAGGAAGTATTTTGAAACACACTGGAACATGAACACAGTATCAGTCAGAAATTTATTAAAGCAGCTATGTGACTCTTCCAAGTTCATGCTGCTGCTGCTACAGAAAAACCTCACTCGCAGTCCAGCAATCCTGCACAACTCCTTTAATAAATCATAGACAGATGCTGAGATCTGAAAGCATCTCTTTTAGATCAAATCCAAAGCTTTGCCCAACCTATAATATTTCATTTATTTCTACATAGACAAACTGAGTCTATGAGGGGTCTGATCCATTTATCTGCCTCAAGGCCTCTTAGCTTCAATAAAGAAAGCTGTGCTGCCCCTTTTCTCCCACAGGATGTTTTATTCTATACAGGAGTTTTGTAATTCCAGTTGTTTGTGGCAAACCTGACTTCTAAAAATTACTTTTCTTTCCAATTGTGATTCTAGTTAAGGAGGATTCAGAATGCAATTGAAGGAGAATTGCCGGGAGAAGAAGTAGAGAAAATAGAGGGAGCTAATCAGATCACCTTGCAAGTAGGTTATCTCAGGTAAAAGACTAGAAATCAGTAGAACAGCTGATATTGCTGATGGGCCAAGCATGTTTGTTTCATTGATGCTTTTAAGATTTTGCTAAATATAGTAATGACAGACAATCTATCATATGCATATTGTACGTGCTATTGGAAGAAAGGAAAAGAGATCTTTATTCTGAAAAACCCTGTAAGAAAATATTAAAAGGTTACAAAAGTACATGGCAGATCTCAACCTAATTATCATTTCCAAGGAAGTGAATGACTTTTTAAATTAAAGTGCACAAAGCTGTTTCAAACTTAATTTGATGCTTTGTTGCCAATTTGGGGCAGAGATGCTTTGAATTAGTCTTGATGCTTGGTGCTCCCTGGACAAGTCCCTCAAGTTTTCTTGGCAAGATTTCAGAAGTGGCTTGCCATTGCCTCCTTGCTAGGACTAAGAGAGAGTGACTGGCCCAAGATCTTTCAGCTGACTTTGTGCCTCAGGCAGGACTAGTCTCCTGGTTTTTAGCCTGTAGTCTTAATCACTGTATTATCTGTCTCTCTCAATTGCCAAATATTCTGATGTCATATTTCTTTGATATTTTTTTTTTGGTGCAGGGGGGGAGGAGGGATTTATTGTTTTTCCTATGGCTTTTCTGACTGCTACAAACAGAAAAGCCCTGTCTAGCAGAGATTTCAATTCCATTCACTAGAAAACATATATTAATGATTTTTTTAAAAAAAAATCTATAATTTTTTCTCGAAAGATGTTGGAAATGGTCTCCCTTTCAGTTGCCTTTTCAAAATCAGCCAAAATAAAACCCATGGTCAATGCCTCATGATGCTGGTTGCAAGGGTGCCCACAGGGTCAAAATAATCAAATGGGGATCACTCAATTGATTCTCCACCAAGAGTTTTGGTTGTGTAGCCACAATTACTATTAGGATTTTTTTGACACATTCTCTTGCAGGAAGTGATGCGTAAGCAATGTTTCTGTAGTGTAATTTTTAGCATTATCGATTGATGGTACCAAAGCAGCATTTTAAACATTTCCATGCTGTCCTTCATTATAAGAATTCAGTGTTGCTCACATATTTGAAAATAGACTAAATATAGCAGGTTAGTTACAAAACTGTTAGTATACCTTGCAGAGTGTGAAAATGAATTTGAATATGTGATCGGCCTGTGCTTTTGTTGTAATACACAAATGGGCTTTCTGATTGAAGTATTGTGCTAGAAAATGGGAGATCACGAGTTCTAGTCCTGGCTTAGGCATGGAAACCAACTGGACGTTGAGGAAAAATAGTAGAAGAGAACATTTATTTTTACAAAATAAGAGTGGTACATTACAGTGGTCTATTGTGATGTGTGAACCCAACTATTCTAACTGCTCTTTCTCATTTAAAGGCACATTCTATAAGGGTTTGAAAAAAAATGAAAGTTATCTGTTGGAGAGGGGGGATTTGGAGCCAGGTCTGGAAAATAGCTGAGATCAGCAAGGGAATTTTTCTTCCAGTCACAGCAAGGAGCTGGTTTTCTTGCTTGGTACCCTTCCTGAATTAAAGCCCCAAACCTAGATTATGAAATTCATAGATGTTGCTCACTCCATTTTCAGAGCAACATGTAACTGAGCAAAAAAGTGGCATGTTATTATGCAGTTTTGACTTATTGAGTTGTATGATATATTCAGGGACAATGCAAAAATGCTTTTATTAAAAACCATGCATTTTACCAAGAAGATCTGGTTACACAATATCTGCTATCACAAGTAGTTATGGCATGAGCAATAACTCCCTCTCTCTTGGCCCCCAAATGGGAAGAACTGTGGTGGTCAGCTTGTACCATGTGGCTCTTGTAGCCAGGTGCTTATCACAGTAGTGGGTGTTTTGCTATGGGGAATTGATTCCTGTGATATAGTTGTAGAAGCAAAAGATTTTAAAAAATGAAGAAGGGTTTCTGACTCAAAGCCTGTGGAGGTACTATTTAATCCAGTTTCTAACCTGCAGATGACCTGCCCTGCTCACTTGCCCTCGCAGTTTTATAGGAAGCATTTTGCATTTCCAGGTGGACACCACTAAACCCTTAAAGACACCTCCATCCTATTTGCAGGGAACCTCAAGAAAAGGGGAGAATAAGGCAAATTTGCTGTTGTACCCTTGCTTCAAGATTACATTTGGAAACCATGTATTAGTTTCTATAGCAGACAAAGTACACATATATGTCATATGCTCCCAAAAAATTTTTTTATTTGCTGAGTGACACTTCTTTTTTGTTGGTTTTGTGGTGCAGAGCAACGGTGCACGATATAGAGAAAGAGCTAAAGGAGCTGAGACAGAAACAAGATATGGGGAAAGCCAAATTGGAGCAGTCGATGACAGACAATGCCTATTACCTCCAGGAGCAGGTCAGCAAATGAACTCAGGATGTGTTGAGATCAGAATGTCTTTAGCTAATCTAAACAACAACAACAAAGAACCCAAGTAACTAGGAAAATGTGTGTGTATGGAAAACTGCTGTATCCTTTCTAGAATTTATATTTATTCCTACGCATTATGGACAAATCCTTTGTTAATGAAAATGTGTTGAATTAGTTGATGACATTTCTAGCTAGTGACCAGAATGTTGAACTTGCAAGCTAATAAATGAGTCAGGAGTATGGACAAAACTCACAATGTTGTCCACACATTCACAGTGAGAAGCTTTTGAAATATAAGCAGGAGATTAAGTAACACTCACAAAAAGTCAGTTTGAGAGCCAATCTATGATTTGAAAACCAAGGCTTTCCCAAGTTTGATGTTTCATCTCTTGCTTTACCTTTATGTAGGCACCATGGTCAGTTTTCAGAGTTACTGATTTCCTGAATACTTAATTTAGTAATTGACTTGTATGCACTGCCTGACCATACCCAGAGATTTAAATCAAGTTCTGTTTGAGAAGTTAAAAGTCTGAAATGTGTAGGAGTAACTACAGTTTGAAAAAAGCATTACAGTGCTTTGATATTATCTTCCTTTATTCCTGGCCATCAACAGCCCCTGCAATTTTTCCTAATTTATGGGGTTTGCAGAGATGGTTTTCCAATGGAAAATGAATGGATGGCACAAGTTCAAGCAATTCTAAATAAGACCTGAATGAAGCAAAGCTGTCTCTATTTCAGGAACAATGATTTTCAGCTCAGCATTCCTCTTGCAATTAACAATTAACTAATAGTAGCAAGATATAGGAATAACGAAACTTTCCTGGTGATTAGCTCACTAGATTCATTTTTTTCAGCTCGTCTTCAACATGCCCAAAGTCTCATTACATTATGGGTAGCTTCTAACTTTCTTGTATTGAGAGATGTGGCTCAGAATCAGCTCCTGGAATTGGGAGCCCTCCATGAGTTTGTAACTTGTACTATCAGGAGGTTGAAAAGTGGTGGAAGTGACAACTGATGGAAATAGGCAAATTCTGGGAAGGGTCAGCAAAGGGAGGATTTTATTTTTATAATAATTTAAAGAAATTGGCACAGCTTTCCCTCCTTTAATCACTGGGCTGGCATTTAACTTTACAGGATTACAATCATACAGAAAACAAAGTTTATCATATGGGTCCTTGCCTCTTTTTCTGCTTCAGAAAGAAACATCTAGCTAGAGTGTTACGGTTGTTCCTGCCCAACTAGTCTGCCCTTGGTTGCCTTGCAGAGCCTTTATTTCTTGATTTAGAACCATACCCATGGAGTTATTCCTTGAACGAGCTTTTGATCTGCAGCTATTAGCAGGAGGATAATCTTTAGCTCCCAGTTGATTAAATGCTTCATTTGCTAATTTCTGCATATCAAAGAGACAAGAAAGCAGGCATTTTGTTCCTGCTTGTTGGCAAAACATATTGATTTGTTACAGCTAGTGCCTCCAATTTGGCACTCTCCAAATGGTGTTAGTCAGTGATTCTCAACTTTTTCTTCACCACAGACCGCCTTTAAATACCTGTTGCGGCCTTGGACCACTAAACACAACATTTCAAGCCCTTCTGGACCCCCTATGACAACATTGCAGCCTCCCAGGGGTCCACCGAGAACCACTGGTGTAGGCTATGACTCCTATTAACCTTAGCCCTCAAGGGAAGTGGACATTGTTGTCCAGTCTATCTGGAGAGTGCCATGTTGAGGCTATCCTTTAGCTATTCAGTTCAATCTGATGTGGAACCCCTATTTCCCCCCCACTAATATAGTGGAAAAATTGCTTACTTTATAACACATGTATTTGCAGCCAGCCACGATGACACCCAAATGATGAAACATGTATTCATCATTTGGGTGTCATTGTGGCTGACTGCAAATGCCTATGGGAGAAGACCTTTTAAACAGAGTCAAGGTCTGAAAGGTCTTTCTAGTTGCTCTCAAAACTATTTTTGCTCAGGTTCCACATTATTATAGTGGAAGGGGGGAAGGATTCAGCAGCAGCAGCAGACCTTTTCTTCCCTGCACTAAGTCCTAAATCACTCCCCAAAGCTCTTTCTATTATTTCCTATTACTCCCATGGACAAAATATGTGTGGGGAACTCTCATTAACATCAGTGGAAACTACCTTTTGGAGTTGGGATTTAGTTTCAGGGAAGTTCTAGAAACTTTTAAAATGATTATTGACATATTCAACATTATTATAAGGCATCTGAATTCTACCATTATAAGGTTATTTGATAGATAGATAGATAGATAGATAGATAGATAGATAGATAGATAGATAGATTGATTTATCTCAGCTTTGCTTTAATGGGCCAGTCTAGATGGTATCCTCCAATTTAGTGTCCTGGAACTAACAATGTTGGAACTCACTCCCACCCCCACCCCCCATGAAAAAACTCCTATTGTGCATGTCCCAAGTCTGTGGACTCTGGCCATTACAGATCCAACTAAAATAAAGTCACGAAGCCAAGGAATACTGATTCAGCCCAACAAATTAAAACAGCTTGTTCCTGTCACCACTATATGTTAGAGATGAAAACTAGGATTTCTTTTTCAAGAAACCAAACTCCTGCTTTTCTCACTTGCTCACAGTTAGACAAGCTTAGATCTGTCATAGAGAACATGATGTCCTCCTCGTCAACTTTGCTGTCCATGAGCATGCCACCCATCCCAGAGTCTGGTGCAGCTCAAGTCCAAGGCACGTGTGCAGCCTGCAGCTTAGATGTCAGTGAGAAGGTTAGCCAGTTGTTCAAGCGCTACGAGCAGCTGCAGGACTCAGTCAACAACTTCATGTTGAGGCAGGCAGAAAGCAAAACGAAGAAACCCAAGCAACGCCAGGTAAGGCCAGAGAGAAGATAGCTCAGACTGCTCTTCTTTTCAGTTTTCAACTGGATAGCTTTGGAAACTGCCCACTCAAATGAGATGGGTGGTGTGGAAATTTAATCAATTAAAACCAAGAACACGGTAATCCTCTGCAAGATGGACAAGTATGGATATGCTTTGGGGCAAGGTTTGGATAGGGAGGCCTAACCTGTTGGAACTTTGTAAAGGTATGGATGATCTGTCTAGCTCAGTATTGCCTGGTAGTGTTTTCTAAGAGTGCCAAATATTAGGTATTTGCCAGCTGTTCCTGGAGAAGCCAGGAACAATCTGGGAGCTTTTGTGTGCAGAACATAGTCTCTCCCTCTGAGCTTTATCACAACCTTTTACCCCAACGATAGTGGCTGCATGCTTGCTAGTGGGGAGGGAAATGTTTTGCAGATTCATACAACTTTCAGATCACATTATTTACTGACTTGGTCAATACATCATGCTAAGCTAACTTTTTAAAACAATGATTTCTTAATAAATCTCAGCCATGGCTGTACTAGTGAGGCTTTCTAAGTACTTTCTCCCTTTGAGGCTTTTTCAAGCAGTCACAAGTTCAACATATTGCAAGTTTTCTTGTGTGTGGGAAATGGAAGCAGATCTGTTTTAAACATACTTCGTATTTCATGACAATAGCACAACAACTGCAATATTGTTGATATAGAAATTACCTTTGGTAGTTTTAGAAAGAGGAACTATAAATATCATACTCTGCCTAATGATTGTCTTCCTGTTTCAGGAGATTTTAATATTTTACCCCCTGAAACTAGCAAGTTCCCAACTTCCCAAAATTGCTTTCTAAGAATCATTTGACGTAAGCCTGGCCAGGCACATAACTTACGTTGCATCATGAAGTTCAGTAAGATTGTTGGTATTCGGAATTGCAGCCTATCTCCTATAGTACTCCATTAGTAATGCTTTGCTTTGCTTTTGTTCCATTGATTTGTCTGCTATTTTATCTTTAATTTAAAATAGCTGAAGAAATTATGGCACAAATTTCAACCTTATACAAGATTTCTGGTTTTCTTCTAAAAGAGTATCAGTCTTTTAGAACTATGTGCAGACACGTCTGTTCAAGCGGCCAATTTCAAGGTCACAGGGCTTTGTTTTGTTTGAATTTTTTTGTGAACTTCTTTTTTACTCTCTTGTTGAATGCAGGGACCCCAGTCTGACATAATTACTTTTAGTATTATGTGCTTCTTGAACTTGGATGTTGGCAGAGCATTTAACAATGGAGTTTCCCTCAGTTTCAGATTAATGTGATTTTTAGATTGTCACATATAAATCTAAGCCTAAAAGAGAATAAGTAGTACCCAAAGAGCATGTCAGTGTACTAGATATGAATCTATCTTTCATTACTATGTCAAGGGTAATCCCATTTTGTTTCTTCCACCCTTTTAATGGGAAGTCAGAATATACCACTATATAACAGCTGATTGCTGTAAATAAAAGTAAACCAGGGCCCAGGTTGTAGACAATGTCTGTGCCTGTTATATAATAAAGATCCATTTATATTATTCCACATATATCCTGAGTTTATTTTATTATAGTCTAATAAAATATCTTCTGCTGACTTTTAGAGCAAACTTTCTTTGCAGGATTCCTATTTGTCATGAAGAGATGGATCGAGCTTTCATTATTTACTCCAAGTTGCCCAAAGGCAGCAGCTTGAATTCTGAAAAGTAGAACAGGAGGGTTAATAAAACTGTCACTTTTTTTTTTTTGTTAACTTTAGTATTCATGCTTTTTTCCAATCAGGATGAAGAGGTGCTCAACCAAATCCAGAGTACTATCCTGCAAGTCCAAGAAGATTGTGAGAAGCTGAATGCCACTACTGGCAATCTTGTTGAAGATCATCACCAGAAACAGAAAGAGATCAGTGTATGTAACTTTAAGTCAAAGTTAGCAGGTGGGATCAAAAAAATGGGAAGAAGTTCTTGGAAACTGTTCTGAATGCAATGGATATCAGTTCTGTTTTTGATCAGGATTGTTGTCCTTGCTGTATAATAAGGCGTAAAGTAGTTATTAGCCAGAATGGCCCAGAAAGAAGGAATAGTAGATAACCTCTGGTCCATAGGGTCATTGTTTCAGAGATATTTCTTTATCTAAACAGAGAAACAGAATATAGATAATCCTTGACTTTTGACCACAAAATTTCTGTTGCTAAGTGAGACATTAGTTAAGTGAGTTTTGCCCCATTTTCTGACCTTTCTTGCCACAGTTGTTAAGTGAATCACTGTAGTTGTTAAGTTAGTAACACAAATTGTTAAGTGAATTTGGCTTTCCCATTGACTTTGCTTATCAGAACATCACAAAAAGTGATCACATGATCCCAGGATACTGCAACCGTCGTAAATATGAGGCAATTGCCAAGCATCTAAATTTTAGTCACATAACCGTGGGGATGATGTAATGGTCGTAAGTGTGAAAAATTGTTGCAAGTCACTTTTTTCAGTGCCGTCGTAACTTCAAACAGTCTCTAAATGAACATTTGTAAGTCAAGGGCTACCTGTAACCACAAGCAGTTAACTTTCCTTGTAGGAAGCTGGCAGGCAATGTTGGAAAGGATGATACATGGCCACAGTTTACCATGGATGCATGGCAGCATAGCAGTGCGTGAGCACTGAAGTGACTACAAGTTTGCCAAATTTCAGTCCCATGGGAATCATGGATCCTGGATTTTGGATGTATTTTTTAATTAAGCCCATTTAAGATACAATGATTCAAAAACTGTTGCCTTATGACAGTTTTGCCCAAATGAAGTTTATAAACAATCAGAAATGAGAGTTTTAGTTGTATTGTAGATAACTTGTGACCCATTGGGTCATCCTTTCAGAACTATTTCCTTACCAGATTCCTCGGTGTCTTCAACAATGACAGAACTAACGTACTGCCATGACTGGAAAAGTTGGGATACAAAGATGTACCTGCCTTGAAAATAACCCATGTTGAACTATATAACACTGTCAAACATCAGCAAAGCAAATGTCCTATGAAATTTTGTCATACACTGTCATACACTGTTTTATGATAATTTTTATGTCAGGAAATGTTTTATAGGAATTTGCCAAAGTTCAGTTCCATGGGAATCATAACTCATTCTGTAAATTAACACATTTGAGGTATCTTGGTTCAAAAACTGTTGCCCTATGATGTGCTATTTCACCCAGTTAATGATCATGGGAGGAGAGTTTTAATAGTATATAGATAGATGTAAATATTAACGCATGAAGTTCTTGTCTCTTTATAGCTTTGTTTTTGTTGCAGAAAAATAAAGTTCTTACATACATGTGGCTAGTATTTAAGGGCATATAGTATACCTAAGTGCAGTATAAGTATAAGCAGTATAAGTATAAGCAGTATAAGTAAGCAATGGTATAAACTAAAAGCAAAAGACAACAATTATTAAGACATTTAATCCCAAAGTGACTACAATTGAAATCAGTATTGAGCCACTGAAAGAAAAGAAGCATTTTAAATCTGAGGAGACTGAAAGCCAAACATAGTATAAGGGGGAGTCAAATCCAAAGAGTAAGAGCTATATGTGAGACAGCTCCTCTGACCCGAGGGAAAACTAAGTGCCCCTGAATACACAATTGAACTAAGCACACAGAAGCAAGAATTGTTACCAAGTTGTTCAAATAAGTAGGTGTTCCTATACACACAGCCTGGAAAATCAGCACCAGCTGTTTAAACTTTTAATGCTTCTGAAGACCTAGCCAATGTAAATATTGGTGGAAGGAAGAAATAAAGGTGACTCCAGGGAGGTCCAAGACCACATGGGCTGCCTTATTCTGGACCTGAACCAAAGGGCAGAGAGTAGATTCTGAAAGATCAGCCAAAAAGCTTTTGCAATTATTCAAATGAGACACCACTAAGGCATGCAGCAAATGCTTAGGGGAAAATGGATGGAATTCTGGATACTCATAAGAGGAAAGTAACAAGATTTTGTAATTGTATTGATGAAACATCGCTAAGAAGTCCAGATCTTATATACCATCAGAGACATCAGACCCTGGCAGTCTCAAAAAGTGAAAGGCAGAAGAAAGGATGGTCAGGGTGAAAAAACAATAAGCTCAGCCTTGTCCAAATTTAATTTAGGTTGGGGAGAACACATCCAGCTGGACATTTCAGGCACTTGGAGAGGCAAGACCACAATAGATTGTCCATGCCAAGACTCGGGTTGAGGAATACACCTGGATGTCATGAGCAGGATAGCTAAGCTGTAAAGAAGAAATGAAAACAAAGTATCAGAAATGAACAAAATTGGACCTAGGACCACACTCTGAGGGACACTCACTGATAAAGGAAAGGATTGAAAACCCAAGAAAGAAATAACAGAAAAAATGTGATGGGAAATAGAAGACTGTAAGTGCCCAATTCAGGTTCAGTGAAGTCAAAGTAGATATTAAACTTTTGTGACGAAAGGTGTCAGATGCCACAAATAAAAATGCCAGGACAAATACTATTGTGGGTTTGCCTTTGCTACCAGCAATAATAGACAACTCATGTCAATGCCAATTTGATGGACTGATCTGCTTCAATGAAATTATTTTTTGACTGAGAGGACAGAAGGACAGTGAGATTACCTTATATAATAACATTAGACACAACATAACAAGATAGTTTTGATTTGAATCCATATAAGATTAGAGTTAGGGTTAAGTTAATCATTCACTCACTCTATGCTTGACTAGCAGCTTTTTTTTCTTTTTGATGGGATTAGATTAAACATGTCATATCCAGTAGGGTCATGACCTGATGACACCAGAATCACATGAATGTTCTTTACTTCAGTGACATCACTGGTTAAACATAACCCTTTTAAAATTAGTGTACACTATAACCACTAATAGGATATGAAAGATATAAACTGTTAGGGCATCCTGAAACCATTTTGGCTACATCTTGAGTACCTGGAGAAGAGTAGGACCTGCTTACTACTTGAATGGGGAAACCACTAGGGGATTTTAAAACTATGTTATGGATCTGCCCCTGGATCCCTCTCCGGACGCGAGTTCAGAAGAGGAGGGTGAGTTTGAGTCAGCAGAGGAAAGCGCGGAGCCGAGTGTTGGTCAGGATCGGGGCTCGGGAAGTGCTAGCCTGATGGAGCAGCCTCAGCTGGGTCAATCGGACGAGCCTCAGTCTCAGGCTGAGTGAGGTGAGCCACAGTTTTGCAGCAAGATGGCCAGAAGGCTGCAAGCAAAGACTGGGAGCAGTGGCCACCAGTTAGCAATGAGGAGGAAGTAGAATCCACACCTCCTGATCCAAGGACACATAGAGCAGAGAAGAGATAGGCACAACACTAGTCAGCTAGACTACTCATGAGGAGGCAACCTTATCTCTCATGAAGGACTGCACTGGTATTGCCTTCTTAATCCTGCCCTGAGGACTTGAGTGTTCCTTCAGCAATGTGCCTATTTCTGTGCCTTGTGTGCTCATGCTGTATATCCTGACTCATTCGACTCGTGGACTGCTTTCCTAGACTTTGTGTATTCCCATTGGACTCAGTTACCCAGTGACTCTTGCCGTGCTAAACTCGAAATCTGGAGCTGTGCAATGGGGGTACATTCCAAGGACTTGTTTGGGGGAGTGGTGGAATAAACAACTGTAGACTCTTGTTGTATGTGCATGGGGGGGGGGAGCGGGGGGGAGCACAAACTAGGAGACGACTAGGAAGTTGAAAAAACATCCTGAAAGAAGGAAATGGCAAACCCAGTTCCATAAGCAACAGGGATGTATCCCTTACATCAACCATAGGATGTTAATGTATCTTTTTTATGATAGAATATAGGCAACATCTAAGCCTACGGAAATAGGGAAGATCTGCTTACAGATTGTTTGTAAAGATAGTGGTGATGATAAATTTAACAGGAACTGGAGTTTTTATTTTGGTAACAACATCATTTTGTTTTGCTTTGTGTTCTCTTAAAGGCATTGTACAAATCACTGGAGAAACTGGAAAATGAAAAAGTTGACAAAGATTCCCTAGAGACCGAAATCCATGTGGTAAGCAGTTTGACTTACTGACATACAATGGATATACCATCCTTAGGGAACCATGGATAGATACTCCTGAGAAAGTTTTATTTACAAATGGAGCCTGTGGGGCAGTCACAAATAGCAAGCTTACTCTCTGTTTTGAATGGTGATCCTGATACAGGTAATCCTTGAGTTACAATGGCAACTAGGACTGGTATTTCCATTCCTAAGTGATGTGGATGTACAGTGCGGTGTTATGTGACTGCATCACTTGGTGATGGTAATCCCTGCAGTCCCCAGTTGCTGCTGTCCAGCAGGGATGTGAACTGTTAAGCAAGCACCTCCTCACAACTTTCTGCTGGCTTCCAACAATCAAAGTCAGTTGGGAAGCCTGCAGGAGGTTGCAAGTTTTAGGTGGTTTGAAAGCCAGCTGGCAGGCAGGTAAATGGCTGCTACTGGGTTGGAAAGAAAGAAAGGAATGGCCAGGGAGGTGCAGCACAAGTGCAGTGGGGCTTGGGGTGACTGCTGCTGGGTGGAAGAGGGTTTGTGTGGATGCATTAATAGGGTGGCGTGGCATGAGCATGTCAGAACTTGGGATGGCTGTGGCTGGGTACAGAAGGTGCATGAAGGCATGCGAATGGTGGGGAGGAGCATGAGCATAGCAGGGCTTGAAATGGGGTTGCTAGGAGAGTCTAGCTCTGCCTTTCATGCAGCGCCATCATAACTTTGCATGGTTATTGAATGAGTGGTTATTAACTGAGGACTACTTGCATTTACCATCCTTTGAGATTGGGTCAGGTAGGAGTAGTGCTATTTTGGACTTTCATGTAATTTGTGGCTCTGGAGGGCAGAAGAGGGAGAGTTCCTCAGATATCAATGAGACCAAAGATCTATCGCTGTCCTTTCTCTTTATTTTCAGAAAGCAGATAAGACTGCCCTTGCGGCAAAGGTCAGTCGCACCCAGTTTGATGCCACCACAGAACAGCTACATAAGATGATGCAGGAACTACTAAATAAGATGGTTGGGCAGGAACAAGACTGGCAGAAAATGCTAGACAAACTCTTGATTGAAATGGACTCCAAGGTAAGCAAGATGTATCCTTCTTAGCCATTTGCAATCCTGTCAGCAGGAGAACTACTTGTGCTAGTGGTCCATATTGTGATGTGCAGGGAGGCTGCTAAGCACCTTAGGGAAATGTTGGTCCTTTTCTCCTTGGCCAGGAACATGTATAGATGGTAGAATTCATCACTTGTATTTTTCCCTATAACTTGAAGCACATTATGTCTGCATTCTGACTTCTAGCTTGTTTTTGGACACAGTGAAAAAAATTTTTTGATCTAAAGAACACTAACCCACACGTCTCTTCCCCAAGCTGATATTTCCCAGATGCACTGAGAATTAACATCTCTGGCTGGGAATTTGAGGATTTGGCTTCACTTCCACTAAAGAGTAGGAAGCTGAAAGAGGTTGTAAACAAACAAATGAAAATTATGAGCCCTCTAGTTTCCTCCAATTATTCAGCTAACCCTGCCATATGAGCTATGACAAGAAAGGGGGGAAATAGATCCTTTTCTCTGGTGGCAAAGAAGGCTCTGCAGGGAGATCTCCTCAGTGCCTATGCTTTTATTGTGTAGGCAACAAATCAAGACTATTATTTTCCTGTCTTTTGCTTCATTTACATTGTTATTTTTATTCTTTCTTCAGCTCCAATTGCTTATCCTGTTTCTACAAAAATAATAAGAAGAAAGTATTAATTTTATTACTATTTAAGAGGCTTCATTGAAAATTTTTCTATCATAAACTACTTGGAGCCTGGAAAGACAGGAATAGTAGAATAAAAAGAATAGCTTTATAGGAACAATTCCGCTACTGTTTTCCATGCTTCTTTGCATGGAATGTTTCTGGAACTAATTCTATCAGCCTTTCCCTCTACTTCCTTGTAGGAGAAGGCTTTCTTACAGAAAATACGACCCCAGCGTAAATAAATAATATAAAGAAATGCAAGGCACAGGAGCAAAAATTTAATAAAATCACAATCTAGAAAAAAAGTAAAAGAATTAAGAACCCCTTGTGGTATGAACACTAAGGAAAAACTGTATAGAAACAAATCAACCACGTATTTATTATTCATGTATTAATTAATTAAACTTATTGTACTGCCAACTACCAAAGTCCCTTGGTAGTTTATAGTAAGACGTAACATTGAAATTAAAATTCAAGACAGTAGGAAAAGCTAGCAATAACAATTAAAAGCAATTTACAAGGTGTATTTAGGCTGTTTTTGAAAGGAAGCAAAGCTGTTAGGTCCCATAACCCAGGAGAGAATGTGTTCCAGAGAATGGAGGGGCTAGAGAGAAGACTTGACCTAAGCAATTGTAGATGAACTTCCAAAATAATCTCTGGGAGTGGATAGGGCTGGGGAATTTTGTAGAGGTGTTTCCTCAGAGAGGCTGGAACTGAATCATATACCGGTTTAAAGATAATAAGATAATAATACCCCTTCACACTTCACCCAAAGGCAAATTGATAGACAGTCCAATGTCATTAACACAGGTATAATGTGGTTCTTTTGAGTTCTTCCCGACAGATTTGGCTGGTGAGTGCTGAACCAGTCGAAGTTTCTAGGATAGATACAAAAGCAGCCACACACACAGTACGTCACAGGGATCAAACTTGGATGTTATTAATATGTGTCATTTTAAGAGTGAATTTGGTGTATCAACCAAAATTGGTACATCAGCCAAAGCTAATGAAAGGTGCTATTCATTCCTGCCTCAGACTAGAAAACTAAGGTGGTTCGACCACCCTCTGAACCTGTAACTCTGGACCCAGTTTTAGTTTATTATTGTCCATTATCCAGCCATTATCAACTATAGGCATGGATGCAAGGAAGCCTGATTATTACCTGAAGATGGTACAGAGAAAAAGGATATCATCCACATAGATATAACACCCAGCTCCAGATTTCATGATTATCTCCCCGGCAAATTCATATTGATAATAACACTGCAGGCTGAATGAAGTCCTGAGAGACACTTGTTTCAAGGAGCAACTGTTTCCAGGTGACATAATCTACCCAATGGAACTATTGTAGAGGATTGCAATAATTCCTATTCACTTATCTCTAATGATGTTTAATGCCAGTCTAGGTGTCTTCTTTTGGACAGTGCTGCATTCTTTTCTTGAAATAAATGAAACAAGCTTCAGCCTGTGTAGCAGTGAAAGCATTACCTGAATATGTGGGGGAAGAATCATACCGATGATAAATCTCCACTTATGCAAGTCAAACTAAGGACCTAAACAAAGTCCAACAGTTAATTTCTTCACAGTTTTATATCAGCAAGCCTCAAGGAAGAAATGTATAATAAATACCGTACCTAGTCCATACCTAAGAAAGTTTTCCTGAAAAGGATCAGAAATCCACCACTGACACAGCAGAAAAGTAAGGAAAGGAATGAGATCCAGATTTGATAAATGTAAAGGTCTGACATAACTGATGTTAAAGAATCAGCTTCCCATATACTGGTATGTGCACAAGAAAATAGCAGACAGTTGCATTAGATAAGGATTCTCCCAGTTCAGGAGAGCCTGTTTAACTTGTTAGATAAATCTTTCCTGTAACCATTTGCTGATCCCAGGCACAAAAGTTTAGGCTGACATCTTTTATTTTTCTGTGCAGGCCCTAAATAGAAGCCAGTTAACTGTTTCTGGGCTAATATTACATGTCCTAGTCATGCAAATGGATATACACATATCTGTTATGCTATTGTGTTGGGAGTTGAGTTAGGCAATGTTACTTTGAGTTAGGCAGTGTTACTAAAGGCAGGAAATAAGAGAAAAGTAAAAATAGTCTACTTAAAGGCATTTTATACCAAGAGCATTCATTATATCTTTCTGTACTTTTCTATATTTGAGAAACATCTTCGCTTTTAGCTATTCATTCATCATCTTTTTTCCCTTTTAAATCATGGATAAGTCTTTCAAGCATATAAAATATACATGGCAATGGCTGCCTGCTGATTTTTATGATAGGGGGAAAAAAGCCATGTTACATTGTTTTATCTTCATGCTGACATTGCACCAGCAGAGGGAATGTTCTTTAAAGAACCAAGCCTATAGAGAGAATAGCACCAGATTTGTATTGCCACACAATACAAAGAACAGGGTGCCAGCAGAACAGCAGATGTCCTCCTTTCTGTTTGCTGAATGTGTTTGAAGTCTTCCTGCTTTTGATTTTAACCCACTCCATAAGTGCTTCACTTTCCCCAAATGCCAAATTCTACAGCCTAGGAGCTATTGCTGGCTTGTCCTCTATTAGGGAATAGTGATTGCCAAGACCTAATGCTTACATTAGCTCCCAGACCTCTTATATTTGCCTGTGGGCTTCTTGACATCACTGCTGTTTCCACTGCCTAGTCCCTTAAGAGAGATTTGAAGATGATCCACAACCATCTTCTGTTCTACAAGCTTGGCAATGTTGAAATAAAAATCAGAGTGTCTGTCTTAAGCTGCCGGTCTTGTGATAACCTATCCTACATGCAAAAAGGGAATAAAGTACTTTGCTTCATTCCCTTTCCATGTTCTTCCTAACATGTGCAAAATATATCCTAGTGGTTTCAATGAGAAGTTAATGGTAATCAATTCTGTTGGTTAATTATGTTGTGTGTGAAGCGTTACCTTCTGTCTACAGGTAGTCCTAGATTACAACAGTAATTGGAGCTGGAACTGTTGCTAAACAGTGCAGTTGAAAAGCATGATGTCATATGACCATGTCACTTAACCACAGCAGTTAACAGCAATTCTGGTTGCTGTTGTTAAACAAGGATTACATGGCTCATTAAATGAGGATCTCATGTGTGATTGCAACTTCTGACTTCCTGCCAGCTTCCCAATTGGACTTTTCTTGTGGGAATCTGGCAGGAAATGCAATCACGTGGCCTCATCTTGTTGCAATGTCTGGAACTCTAAGGAGTTGTTGTAAGTCTCCTTTGTTCAGTCTCATCGTAATTTTAAATGGTTGCTTAAAATGTGATTGTAAAGCTGATTCCATCAGCTTCTAGTCAGTTTGACTGAATGACTTCTGGTCCAAATGTTTTGCATGCATACCCAGATGCAGGTAGTCCTTGACTTATGATCACAATTGAGCCTAAAATTTCTGTTGCTCACTGAGACAGTTATTAAGTGAGTTTTGCCCCATTTTATGACTTTTCTTACCACAGTTGTTAAGTGAATCACTGCAGTTGTTAAGTTAGTAACACAGTTATTAATTGAATCTAGCTTCCCCAGATTGACTTTGCTTGTCAGAAGGTCACAAAAAGTGATGACATGACCCCAGGACATTGCAACCATCATAAATATGAGTCAGTTGCCAAGTGTCTGAATTTCACTTTCAGAATAAATTATGCAAAGAGCAGAAAAAGAGTAAGATGAGGAGAAAAATCTTTCCTTCTCTGCTTTCTGTAGGCCATGCTTGATTCTCTATGTCTCAACCATGTTTTCTTACAGCTGCCCTTTTCCCAAAGCTGAGAAATTTCAAATATTCCAGCCTTTTCTCATGAGGATGGAGATAGAGTCCCATTATTGTTTTATTCTTTTTCCGACTCAACTGCATATTTCTTCAAACCTTCTACTCCATGCTTGAACTTTGCCCCTGCATTGGAAGTAAAACTCTTCCTTTGCATATCAAACAAATATCCAGTACTGTTAACTCCTTGAAAGCAAAAATATTGTTGCTACGTGATGAGTTAATAGGTACCTATAGGTACATATTTCAGGAAAGAGAAATGGCCCACATTACTTTTTGGATTCTCCTGAAGTGAGGTTAATAGGTCCCTGTGAGTCTGTATTGCACATAGTGTGACAGTTAATTCAGCCTTGGTCTCAGTGTCTTGAGCCCCAGAATCTCTGAATTTTTTTCTGAACAGCTGGACCGCTTGGAACTGGATCCATTCAGGCAGCAGCTGGAGGATCGTTGGAAAGATATTCGGAAACAGTTGAAGCAAAGGGTTCCACAAGATGAAGGGGATGAGGCTGCAGGGATCAGAAGGTAAGAGAGGCTAGAGAAAGACAGCTGTAGCATTAAGAAAGCCCAGTACAAGAATGGGCAGATGTTCAGTGGCAACAGCCGTCAACCTTGACTTCCTATCCTACACTTGTGGTACGGTTAAAAATAAGAAGAGAAAATGCATATGTGGGTCTTTGAATGCAGCCTGTAATCCCTGATACCACATACATTGAGCCAAAATGCGCTTTACTTGAGGAGAATGTCAATGTGCTGAATCATCATTTACATTTCCCTTCAGCATCTCCAAGTACCTGGCATATTTTGAGAAAATTAAAGTAAACTCTCCATTTCCACTGCAGTCCAACAACAAAAATAGAGCTTTTACAGAAAATGTAAATATTTCCAAGCCACCGCCATGAACTTTTATACCTCCCCCACCAAAAAACACCAGTTTGGGGGGTTAATGTTTGGAATTGATGCTGATAGGAAACTTCAGGTTTATAGGTAAGTTTTGGAAACCATCCCAGAATAAAATAGAGGCAACCATCTTCCATTTGGTGTTCGACAAAAACTGCAGGGATATGTTCACATAATCAGGAATTGAGCTTTATTTGAAAGAGAATACACTTTTCTTTACTAACAAGTATGACAGCCAGACACATGTTACTCTCAAAACTGGAGCTACTGAACACTTATCTGAACTCTTACTTGCTTTCCCAGACCTTCACCTAGTCAATACAGGTAATCCTTGACTTACAACCATTCCTTTAAAAACTATTCAAAGTTACAAAAACACTGAAAAAAGCAACGTATGATTGGTCCTTGCACTTAATGACCATTACAGTGTGCCTTTGGCCACGTGATCAAAATTCAGATTCTTGGCAGCTGTTATGTATTTATAAATTTATGATGATTGCAGTATCCCGGGGTTCCGTGATAGCCGTTTGCGATCATCCCAGTGGGTTTCAGTCAAGCAAAGTCAATGAGGGAAGCCAGATTTACTTAATGACCATGGCAAAAAGGTTGTAAAATTGAGCGTGACTCATTTAACAATTGCTTAGCAACCAAAGTTCTGGTCCCAATTGTGGTCATAAATTGAGGAATACCTACAGTCCTTTCCTTTAGAATGGCAAGCTGCAACCACGCTGTTGCATCACCAGAGGGCACTTGTGCTTTGTGTGACCTACTGGCACAGCTTATTGACAAGGGAGAGAGGAGGGGGAAGCTGCTATGAATGTGATTACTTTAGCAGTGCAAATCAGCAATTCCTGCTACATACTGTTAGGTAATAATACACCAAGCACTCCTATGCTAAGTTGAATAAGATGCAGCAGAATCTCTTTGTCTAGCTATCTTGGCATCCCAGGAGTTGTCCTGCCTGTCCTGGTGTCTTGCTTTGAAAATCCTTTAATTAAATCAGAGAGTGATTATATGTGAAGGCATGAAGAAATAAGATGCAAACATGGGGGGAGGCACTGGCTGCCAAGAAGCATGTTTTCCTTGGACTTTGGGGGAGGGGGTGTTTCTCTTGAGGACCCTTTTCAGAGAAAAAGGAGGCTTAGCAAGTCTTCTGCTCACTTCACGCAGCACTGGGGACAGTGCCAGTTCCTGAGTCAGGGTCCCACATCCCAGACCTGAACATATTGTGAGGGTTTAGGTGAAGGTATGTCATGTTTGGGATAGGAAGATCACCATAGCAATCTTATTTCCTCAGAAAGAACCTGCAAGGCAGTGGTGCAGTGGATAAGTCGGCCTTCAGTGAAAGGGAGGGGAAAAAGGAAAGAAAATGCAAATGAAAGTGAATATATGTGTCCCAGGATAATGTTGCAGGATCCAATCTGGGTCGGTCACTGGGACCAGAAGGTTTGTTTTACAAGCTTTTGGACTCATGCAGGAGCCCATTTTCAAGGAACTTCTCTGTATCACAGAAAAGTTCCCTGAAGATGGGCTTCAGCACGAGTCTGAAAGTTCGGAAGACAAACCTTTTGGTCCTGGTGACCGACCCAGATTGGATCCTGGAAAGAAAACAGATATGGACTAAGCGCAGCTGGTGCAGTGCGGAGGGAAAGACCCCTCTTTGTTTTGTCAAAGCAAACTTTGAAAGTCCACAAGAACAGTTGCTTTCACACGAAGTTGGGAGAAGTCTATTATTAGACTTTGCCAGCCCACCCGAAGGAATGATGGGAGCTGAAATCCAATCTGAGGGGGTGGACACCAGGAGGGTTAAGGGTGATGTAGTTTGACTATTTTGGAAATCTCTTTGCTCCCAAACAGCAAGAATGAGCTGAGAGCTGGGTCTAGGATAGGCAACCTGTGGCCTCCCCAAGGTTACTAAACTCCAACTCCCACATTCTTCCCAAGTGGCCATGCTGGGAGAGCGCCTGGGAGTTGGTCAGTAGCATCTGGGCAGCTACAATTTCCCCAGAACTAGAGGAGATGATCAGTTTAACACATGGTGCCCCTATCAGTTTTAATAGCTGGTAATGCCGTTGATCGTTGGTACTAGGGTTTTTGGAGTGGATCAAACATTATGTAGAAAAAGAGATGGAAGAAAGCTAGTTATCTCATTCACTGCTTTTGGGGCAGGAAGGAAAAAGCACCCCACACAGCTTTCCCATAAAGATCTGTTCTGGCGTTCTCCAAATTGAAGAGAAAAAATTCCTCCTTGTTTTGGAGAGGGAAATTCTCTCTCTCTCCCTTTTTCTTTTTCTGAGCACAAACAAACCATCATCATACTTCAGATCATCTTTCCATTCATGAAACCTTTTTGCAATCTCTCCTTAATCAAATGTAATTGGATGATGCTATTTTATCTGCAGCTCACTGGCTCTGGAGATAAGATAGTCCTCAACTTATCACTTAGCAAACATCTGAAGTTACAACAGACACCCCATCCCCATCCCCAAAAAAGGAACTTACGACCTGATTTTGAAGTTCTGACATTTCTCTCTTCCTTGTGGTCATGGGGATCGCATTTTGGGCACTTGGCAACCTTCCCATAGTTACAGCCATTTGCAGCACCCCACAGTCACATGACCACAATCTATGATGGTTTTTTCCATAAACTGGTGTTTACTTCCAGTTGCCAGCAAAAACCGAGCTTTAAGGAACACTTTACTTTACAATGGCACATTTGCTTAACAACCACTGCCAAAAGTGGTAAAAATGGATCCTGTCACATGGTGACCCACTTTAAAACCATCATGACTTATGAACGTAATGGCTAAGCTCAGTTAGGGTCATAAGTGAAGGACTATGTGTACAGTGGCCAGATTTTTCCATCCTTTCAGGGACATCTTTTATTCTCCCTCATAGTAACTGTATTTACCCATGATGCACAGCCTGAGCCTCTTGTACCAGATTTCTTTCCTCTAAAGTCTTCTTGTAGTCCCCCAATCCCTTTCAAAATTACTATTGAAATTTTTAAGATTGCAAGAGGGGGGAATTATTAAATGCACGGAGAGTAATCTTATTAACTGCGTTTAACTAATTGAATAAAATATAATTTTAAGTCAAATGTAGCTCTTGTTCCAGCCCCGCTTTGTTTCTTTGTCTTGCCTTCTCCTCTTTGAATATGCTGTAATTCCTGATACTGCAGCAAATTCAGAGTTCAACACTCCCCGGGGGCATTTTTAACATATAGTTGGTGAGAATTTCCACTATGCTTTCATTAATTTCCATCAACTGAACTCTGAATCCTTGCCGAATGAATGTTTGTTTTATTTTACTTGGCTTCTTTAAAGTGGAATTGTTTGTTGTGGAAATAAATACTCAATTTAATGGGTATGTTAAAAATGCCTCTGCGTGATATAAACATGCTAGGTTGCGTTTATCCCCACTCTATGGCCTTCTAGTTTAAAAAAAGAAGCACGCTCCTGTTGTTGCCAAACATATCTTTTACCCCCTACTCCAGCCATTCCCTTCTCTGATTTGTTGTTTCTTTTTTGTTCTCAAACAGGAGACTCCTGGCTCACTTCCACTGCATTTCTTGTGACCGACCCTTAGAGATGGTGGTGCCTGGCCCGTAAGTCTTTGCTTGACACTTTCAAAATCAGATCAGTAATCAATCTGCTTAGGTCCAAGTATAGGAACACTTCTACTAGGCTATAGATTCAGCTATTCAATGAGTTGCTGCCTATGTCCATCTATCTCCTGAGGAGCTAGCCTTTTCTTCATTAATAAAATGCTGGTATTGTGTTAGGCCAGGAGCAGCTGCCCTCTCCTCTTTCACTTGTTCTGCATCCTCCTTTATTTATCTGGTCTGCGTATTATCTTGACAGGCGAATTACGACTCTCCCAGCTGTTCCAGGTTTACCTGCTCATCAATCCCTCCGGCCGTATATGGTTTATGAAATGGAACAAATCAGGCAACTGAACCGCAAGTAAAATGCAGATAGGAGCTTCTGTGTTTTCTTTGTTTGCAGTTTCTTTATCTCTATATTCAGGAACTGAGTGAGAGAGATTTGGAGTAAGAATCCATAGGGAGGAATGAATATATAAACTGCAAAGTATCCATCTAGCTCGAATGATGTTCTTGGGATGGAACCTTTGTTACGTACAGGTAGTCCTCAACTTACAACCATCATTGACACCAGAACTTCTGTTGCTAAGTGATATGATCATTAAGTGAGTCATCATGTGCTCATACCCAGTTTTAGGACTGATTGCTTAAAGGTAAAGGTTTCCTCTATCCAGTTGTATCCAACTCTAGGGGAAGGTGCTCATCTCTGTTTCGTAGTCTAGGGACCAAGCGTTGTCCGAAGACATTTTCTGTGGTCATGTGGCCAGCATGGTTATATGCCAAAGGTATACAGAACACTGTTACCTTCCCACCAAAGTGGTACTTATTTAGCTGCTCTTATTTGCATGCTTTTGAACAGCTAAGGTTGGCAGGAGCTGGGGCAAGGAATGGGAGTTCATTTCATTGCACAACACTCGGATTTCAAGCCTGGCTGTCAGCTCTCCAGCTGACAAACTTCACATCTTTAACCACTGAGCCATCGTGCCTCCTAGATTGCTTAAAAGTCATTAAGCAAATCTGGCTTCCTCTATTAACTTTGCATGTTGGAAACCGGCTAGGAAAGTTGCAAATGTGTTCATGTGTTCCCAGGATACTATAACTATCATAAATACAAACCAGTTGCCAAGCACTCCAATTGCAATACCAGGATGCTGTGATGGCTGAAAGTGTGAGGACTGGTCATAAGTCACCCTTTCCAGCACCATCGTAACTTCAAGCAATTGTGAAACAGATAGTTGTAAGTCAAGGACTACCTGTAGTGAAATTTAAAATATTTTCTGTTACTGCTGTAAAACTTTCAATGGCAGTGGAGAAAATGGGAAGTGAACATCTAGTTTCAAAACATTTCTTCATTTCTTAGATTTCTTATATCTGTAGAATTGCTTCCAAAAACTTATGGCTGGATCATATAGCATACATCTTAGTTTGTTTAATTTATTTATTTATTTATTTATTTATTTATTTATTTATTTATTTATTTATTTATTTATTTATTTATTTATTTATTTATTTATTTATTTATTTATTTATTATTTTATTTATTTATTTATTTATTTATTTATTTATTTATTTATTTATTTCAATTTGCATGCCGCCCCTCTCCGAAGACTCAGGGCGGCTCACAATGCATTTAAAATCATTATTAAAAACATTTAAGAATTAAAAACATTAAAAATATTAAAACTCATTCACACCATTCATGGCCGGATTTCGCCGGATCGCAAGAGCGAGATCAATGGCTCCAGGCCTGCCGGAAAAGCCAGGTCTTCACCGCTTTTCAGAAGGCCAATAGGGTGGGGATGGTCCGGACCTCAGGAGGTAACTGGTTCCAGAAAGCTGGGGCAGCCACAGAGAAGGCCCTCTCCCGCGGGCCCGCCAGCCGGCATTGTTTAGCTGACGGGACCTGGAGGAGACCAACTCTGTGGGATCTTACCAGTCATTGGGAATTATGCGATAGAAGGCGGTCTCGAAGATAACCTGGCCCTGAGCCATGTAGGGTTTTAAAGGTAATAACCAACACCTTGAATTGTGACTGGAGACCAATAGGGAGCCAGTGCAGCTTGCAGAGAATTGGTGTAATGTGGGTGTACCTAGGTGCACCCACGACAGCTCGCGCGGCTGCGTTCTGGACCAACTGTAGTCTCTGAACACTTTTCAAGGGTAGCCCCATGTAGAGCGCGTTGCAATAATCTAACCGTGAAGTGACAAGGGCATGAGTGACCGTGAGGAGAGCCTCCTGATCCAAGTAGGGTCGCAATTGGTGCACCAGGCGAACCTGTGCAAAGGTCCCCCTAGCCGCAGCTGTCAGATGTTGCTCTAATCTTAGCTGTGAGTCTAGGAGGACACCCAAATTGCAAACCCATTCTGAGGGGGACAATTTCTCCTCCCCCAGAACCAAGGATGGACAGTCAACATAGTCTTTAGGAGTCAATACCCACAGCCATTCGGTCTTGTCTGGGTTAAGTCTGAATGAATCCATAGAAGAATATTCACTTTAAAGTCTCTTCATAGTTGTGTGAATCTAATTCATTCTTGCTGATTACAGAGTTCTATATTAATAAAGGGCAGGGAACTCCTAACTGGAAATGGCCTCTAGGACCCTTCCAATAGCCTCCCTTCATCTCCCTTCTTCATGCAATCTCTCTCTCCCCCCCCTCTCACACACACATCTCATCCATATCTATCTATCTATCATCTATCTTCGTTTAATTTTGTTTTGATAAGTAGCTGGAATTTTTAAAAAGCCCAGTGACATATCTGTGTTTAAGAGTGTCCCAGTGCCTTAGCCTGCTTGATTCCTCTTCCCTGAGAATTAGGGAATAAATCTTCCCATTTATTTGTTGTGACTTGTATGCATGTGGGAGATAGGGCAAAGGGCCACATGATATGTGTGAGAATAGAAAGAGAGTATATGTATGGGGAGGTATGTGGTCCCCAGAAAGTTATCTATGGCAAATACATTCTGCACCACTGCTGCCTGTTATATGAATGCTAGCAAAAGATGTTGGGTGCATGTGCTTTGCTTAACAGCATGTTTTCCCCCCCATCCTCGTTCTTTGACTGTTGCTGTCTCCTTGCTCTGGCACTGGGCTGCCACCATTTCTCCTCTTCTTACTTCTTCCCTATTCTGTATTGTAGCAATTTGAAATTAGGACCGGGTGTTCGTTTTGATGCCCTGGAGAAGAGTGCTAGTCTGAACAAGTTACGGCGCATCCATTCCAAGATGCTCATGGACATACAGAAGGTGCAGAGTCATTATGGCGGAGCTGCCAGGGTCAACGCTCAGATGATCAGGGATGCCCTGCAGTCCCAGTATCTTGGCTCAAGCCCTTTTGGCAAACGGTAGGGCTTATGGGATAAAACAAACTGTTCATCTTGCCAGACAAAAATATAGAAAACAAAGCAGGGCTCTGATCAGTCATCCTGGTGCTTCCCTCAGGAAAACAGAAGATCAGAGGGGCCTTGCCCTGCCTTTCTTTAGCACTGTTATGGTGAACAATAGACTGAGCATTACTACTCATTTCTGCCTACTTATAGCCAGTCATACCTCACTCCCATCCCAAACTTACCAGGAAAGCAGAGAGGGCAGGAAATTATAAAAGCAGCACATTGAAAAGGGAATAATAATTTTTAAAAATTACAGGGATGATGATGACGTTTCTCTCAATGAGCTCTGAATATTCCACAGGACACAGCATTTGTCCTATCAATCTGAATGTTGACACCAGATCTGGACAAATCAAATTATAGGCCAAGAACCGGACATAGTAAAAGACCACCTTCAATCTAGAGCTAACCAATGCATTTAATCACAAATAGAGCTTTTCACGTTCATCTGCCATTTGAGCGGCCCGGTTCCCAATGGGCCATAGCTGGTACTGGGCCACAGACTGGGGGTTGGGGACCCCTGATTTAGAAGGAAGGGCCAATAGTTCCTTGGCTTTAGCTTAAAGCTGAATTGATTAAGTGTATCCAAGATATAGTGACTTTTTACTCATACCTTGGAATCAGGGTCCTATTTAAATTTGATAACCATGTAAAATTGTTTGAGTGAGGAAAGGTTTGTAAAAGGAAGCTGTAAGCAATTACAATTCCTGGAATTCGATTGGAAGGATTTATTTGTTGAGAAGATTCTCTACTCTCTTTTATATACCGTACACTGAAAAACTGCTATACAGCAAAGGAGCTTCCATTAAGAAATTTATCTCAACTTGTATGTACATCATCTCTGTTTGTATATATGGAAGGAAGCCACACATTCCATATGCATGCTTAGTATCATGAAATTAGCAGGAAATATTTACATAAATTTCTTCCATGTAGGAATTTTGCCATACCCTAAAGCAATCTTTTCATGTGCTTCTTTTACATTTTTGTAGGTTTGTAATCAGACAATGAACCTTTTAGTGGTTGGACTTGCTGCTTGGGTAATCATTTGCAATCCCAAAACAGGCTCAGAACTTCACAGATTTGCTAAACAAGTCAGACTTGATTGTTATCATGTTACAATGTATTCAGTGATGTCTATAAAGTGGCTCCTATACATGCAAATCCAAATCTGAAAATAATGTCCAAACTAGCTTAGGCTTAAGTCTGGCTCAGACTAGACTTCTTGTCTATTGTGAGATACAAAAATTTTGTAATCAAATTTCATGTTATCCAACCTTGCAATTTAGCTTGCATTTCTGCTTTAAATTAATATTAGTTTAACCCTGCTACTGCTGCATGTCTTGTTTCCCTACTTGAAATTCTGCTTTCTGTCTAGAAAACTGCTTTCCAGAAGTGGCTTTGTGAAAATAACTTTCTGTTTGTTCCATATGTTTTATGTGCTTTCCTGTCCTTCAAGGCAGAGGCGAGGAACATGATGCTCAAGCAGGCTGCTGCTATGTACTCTACCAAGTGTTTCAGTGAATCTATTCCCAGGGTTTCTGTGGAGAAGCTTAATGTTTCCTGGTGTCTTTAGGAAAAGGGATAGGCCAAAAGGGAGTCCTATATGATCTGATTAGCAAGCAGTAAATGGGTGGATCAGACCAGGAGAGAAAGAGTGAAGTGGTAAAGACTGGGACTGTGTCTCTGTTGAGAGAGCCAAGTTATGAAACAGCTGACTTGTGACTTGAAGAAAGCAAACGGGGTCATCCATCCATCCACTTTTCCAGCCATGGGCTCTGTTGCAAAACCTCACAGATCTTAGCATTAAAAATAGCTGCTATTTCACATCTTATGTGAGGAAAAAAATATCATGTTGCATTAAGTGTCTTGCAAGAATGAGGCAACTTTTAAATATTATTTGGGTTTTATTGTCCATTTTTCCATTTTGGAAGATCTAGCAACGTTCTAAACACTGGCACTTCTGACGCCATCATGGGAGGATATGAGAAAAGTGACCTATGGAGATCTTAGGACAGTTTTCTTGCTGTGAAGAATGAAGGTCTAAAAGTCTGATTCTCTAATCCCCATCCCTTTAAAAGACTCTAAATTGGGAGCCTCCAATGAGGATCTATTTTTCCCCCCACAGAGACTTTCCTTTTCACTTCTATAAAGGGCAAACGTGGATTATGCTTTGTTGAGAAGCATAGCAGAGCCTGCTCAAAAACAAAACTAATCTAGACTCTGTGTTTTATTTCCTTTTTCTGCTGACCCAGTCTTATTTCTTAGGACCACAAAAGACAGTTTATTGTTTCATTACCACCAGCTTTGTTAGGGTTGTTTCTCATGATCATATAGGATCAGTTTGAGACTTCTATATGTCAAACCCTGGGACAGGACCTCTTATCACATCACTCATGAGACCAAATAGGCCCCAAACCTTACACTAGAGCTTCATGGCTGAGAGAATTGACCATATAATCTGTAGGAAAGAACCAGGCTGAGCCAGAGGGAGGGGTCAAGCGCATCATCAATCTCGAGTCCCTTTGTGCGCACAAGAGATCTAAGTCCAGCCCACCTTGAATTCTGTTGATTCCTATCTACCGCCAATTCACTTTGCCTGTTAGCAGTTTAGTATTTTGTAGAGCGTTGGCATGCAATAGACCTGTATTCATTTGAACCACCTTGACTCCTGATTTCCTGTCCTTAACATAATCCTCAGGAGCTTTCTTGCCATGGAGGCTTGCAATACTCAAGGACAGAGTGAACACGATTTGTGCTTCAAATTTGAGATACTGAAAAAGCAAAGTAACATGCTAACTTTTCAGGCTAGAAGGCTAGATTTGGAATTTTCAAAGTTAACAAGGACATGCTTAAAATATGGCTGCCAAGCAAGGTGAATTTAGAAAAGACTGCTTGAGCAATGCTATTTTCCCAAATGCCATTTACCCAAACACACAATGATGAGGTGGTTTCTGCCATTTCCTCACACATTCCCCCACCCCCAGTTGTTTGATTCTGCTTTCTCATCTTACCTTTATGTCTTCTGGGCAGGTGGACATACTTTCAGCATAGCAGTGGAACGTAATCACTCATCATTATTATGTCCTAAGAGTGCCTTTGTGGAGTCCAGAGTTTGGACCTTGTGTAGAACATCATTGTAAATGATGTTCAGACTAACGCTAAGCAATATGTCAGCTGACGTTCCTTCCTTTTCCAGTTGAAGAAGGACAGTTCTAATATCACGTCCCATCCTGGAAGTTTGAGTTGCAGACAATTTTGACTTTCTCCCACCAGAATGCTCGAGCTATTTATCCTGCCCAGTGGAGTCCTCCCTTCTCTAAGATATTGGTGGTCGTTTTATCAACATTAAGAAAAAGTTATTACTATCTCATTGCCCATTAATACCATTTAAGGAAGCCACTTTGGACACAGGAATTCTCCTATTATATCACCTGAAGCCAGGGCTATTTTTAAAAGCACTTTCTCCCTTTTGGGGATATGAAAAATAGGATAGAAGGCCTCTGAGAGATGCTATTTTTTTATAGCTAATCTACCCTACCCCTATTCCTTCAAAAAAGGTGCACATTTTATCTGATAATGTTGGAATTTTAGCCACAAAATGTTCAGCTGTTACAGGGGACAAGGGAGGTTTGAAAGGTGGAAATAGGAGCAGATTGCCACCCAGAGACCCCTCTTTCATTCTAACCCTTGCTGTGAGCCTGAACAATTGTTTTTTTCAAAATCAGTCATTTTGCTGTACTACGCTAAGATGTAGTGGATGTCCACATGGCAGGACATAAGTGTGTTGTCCTTTTATACATTCTGGTTCACCAGATTAATCCAGTTGCTTGGTTTACAACACAACGAACCAAAAAATTAAACATTCACACTGGCCACGGAGCCAAGATCACACTTCAAACCAGGCCACCACAGAAAAGTCGTGCCAGATCTTGAACTTGATTGAGTTCTAATTCTTAATTGCAATGCTTCCCTTGCCCTCCTTCTCCTGCTAATGTCCCGAAATGAATCTAATCTTTCTGAAACAAAGCAGTTTTGTTTTTGGGATCGCAGGGTTGCTGGACTTTGCCTCGTGTGAATTATGGGTCCTTGCCTCTTTACAGAGAGAGACTTCCAGAAATGGCTGACGTTAGCTACATGAATATACCTCGACACTGTGGAGGCAGCCATACCCTCACCCATCCATTCAGACGCTATGTGAAACTGCAACAGTTCAGCCAGAGTATGCCCTCTGTCCAGCCAGATGAAAGCACCATGCTGGCAATGATGAAGGTAATGAGGAGCCAGGTGGAGAGAGAGCAGGAGAGAGTGGATGGACATTGGCACGGACCTAGAGCTGGACAATTGCATTTGAAGCTTAAAATGTTGGCGCTGCCTTTAACTGCTTTGCATGATCAGCCTTCCAAAAGGGCAAGGAACTCTTACCTAAAGAGGAGATGTAAATACGGGTAGTCCTCGACTTATGGCCCACAACTAAGCCCAAAATTTCTGTTGCTAAGTCAGACATTTGTTAAGTGAGTTTTGCCCCATTTTTCAACTTTTCTTGCCGCGTTTGTTACGTGAATCATTGAAGTTGTCAAGTTAGTAACCTGGTTGTTAAGTGAATCTGGCTTCCTCGTTGACTTTGCTTGTCGGAAAGTCACAAAAGGGGATCACATGACCCTGGGACACTGCAACTGATGTAAATATGAGTCAGTTGCCAAGCGTCTGAATATTGATGTGACCATGGGGATGCTGCAATGGTCATAAGTGTGAAAAATGGTCATAAATCGCTTTTTTCAGTCCATTCTGTTGTAACTGAGCGGTCACTAAACGAACTGTTGTAAGTCAAGGACTACCTGTAGTACAGGTTTGACATTTTGTCATTTAGTGCCTGACAGGTTTCCCTTCCTGAGGTGCTCATTCCATGAGCAGGATGCTACTTGTTTGAGGTTATTTGTTAGCCATTAAGTTTTGATACACCTGGGGAAGAGCCTGATATTGATCTAGGGAACTAGTGGCCTTCCAGATGTTGCTGAAGTACATTTCCTAGAAACCTTAGACTGACTGGCCAAGGGAGACAGATGTTAAGAGTTGTAATTAAGCAATACAGAGAAGGTAGTAGGCTTCCCAGCCCTTGCCTAATGTAAGAAAAAGCCCAGCAGGGTTAAACCACAGGTGTTCTTTGTCCATTGTTTACATTCTTACAGTGCCTCAAGGTGGGAGCCCTATAAATCTTATCTTTATTAAGCATGGAATTTGCCTCTTTTTTAGCAATTGAGGCCTGGCTCCACCAGTACCTCCCTCAAGACCTCATTCCTATTTAGATACAGTCTGGATCAACTACAGTAGAGTATAAGAGATATTGTGAACTTTGCTGCATTATGTATAGACTACTTTGTCATTTTCATGTCCACAGTTACCCTTTCTGTTTTAACTGATGGTTGGGTGGAGACCAGTCATACTTACGCTAGGCCCATTAAAAGCAGTATCGCTTAGCTAGTTGATATTAATGCCTCTGCTTTAAAAATGACAAAGTTTGTGTCTTCCTAAAGGATCCTAATTTGGGCAGTTTTATAGTGTAATGGAAGAAGATACTGCAGGATGAAGGAATACAAAGTCTGCTGCAAGATGATCTGAACAGAAATCTCTTGTTCAGTCCTTCCTTGTGATTGGAGACATTTTCTTTTCCTTGAGAATTGGGGCCCCACTAGCAGATGCTTTCTTTTGGAAAAATCAGAACAGGTCTATTTCAGAAGCTTATTTCAAGATTCGTCAGCTTTTCTTTTTTGTCTGTGTTGGTGGGAGAATAGGAAGGGGCAAAACAGGGTGTAGGATTCTTTTTAGAAAAACCAAACGTGAACGACCCCAGCCTGCAATACTGAAAGCAGAAGAGCACATGAAGAGGAAATTTCCAGGGCTTCCTATTTGGGCAGCAGTGAGAAATGCAATCCAGTGCCAGCCAACTGTTTGATCAGACAAGCTTGTCGGTCTTTCACAACAATCTCTCGCCTTGTTTAAGCACTTGGAGAAGAAAGAGTATAAGCCTTTCTGAATAACAGTGATAACAACATCACCATTTTTTTAAGAGTCTCCCCTTTCACACTCTTTAACGTCAAGGTTGGTGGCTTGGTATTGTCTTTGAGATAATGGATATACTTTGCTACCTGTCTCTGAGATTTCTATAATATAAAAGCAACTGAAGAACAAAAGTCTTTTAAGCCACATGTTCCTCTAATTTCTTTTTATTCCCCTCCATTAGCAGAGATGCGATAACACAACTTGGCCATCTTTGCTAGAGTCACCCATGCTAATACAAGTCCATTGTTCTGACTCCAATAATGCTAGATGCAGCTGAAAACCTTCTCATCCGGTATAACACAGACATGTATAGACACACACACACACATGCAGTATGACTACAAATCCTACAGCCATTCCCCCCATGATTGTGTCAGCTAGAGATGGTGGGAAATGTAATTTAAGAATTCTGAGGGAGGTTGCAGATTGGAAAAAGCTAAGCTGTGTCTACTGGGTGGTTTCTTGATTACAACCCCTCACTGTGTTTTTGTGACCTCGTGCAACATGCACTACCTATCCCACTTACCTTACATGCCAGATAACATATACCACTGTGAGGTATCAGCTTTTTACTCTCAAGTGAAGGTGGCGAAAATTAAGTCAGCGGTTGTCAGGGGTGGATTCTGTTGGGTGAAAAAGGATGGAAAGAAAGGAAACAAGGCAATTTAGAATTGCTGAGATGGAAATATCCGCAGCAACATTGGGCCAAAGTGATTGTTCCTGCAATTGGAACTACAGTATCTTCTTTGGAGAAAGTTCTGAAGTTGAACCGTTTGGCAGAAGCCCCCAGTGTTGTCAGGGACGTTCCAAAATTGTGACTGGCATATCCTTTGTGTGTGAAAGGAGCTGATCACTCAATAGGACCCTCAGGTTAACAAGAGAACAGAGGATCAGCTTGCTTAATTATGCTCAGAAACAAAATTGGACCACAATGAATTGAAATCTTCAATGAGTTCAATTAATTTTTAAGCCATATTTCTTTGATTTCCATGTTTGCTCCTGCCCTGCTACCGCACAAGTAGGGTCCCCAATACTCGCATGTATCTTTTTACTGCAAGGGGCAGAAATCCCCACTTGTTTCGCTCTGTATAGTTCAATAGAATTGGATTTCTGAATGGCAATTGAGAGACCTGACATGCCTCTTCCAATTTTCAAGAACTGGAAATGAGGCAGCAGATGGGAGGCGGCACTGATTAGGGACAAGACATGCGTAGCTGCCTGTGAATTTTTTAAAAGGAAAAAATCCAATTTCTAAGTTCCAATGGTCTATCCGGTTTTAAACCAGAGTGCGGTTTTCAAGCTCATTCTTCAGCTTTGCAAGTAAAAACCCTTGTAAAAAGTGGTTAACCTTTAGCAAGGTTCAGCTGAAATTTATTCTATGTTTGCATTTACTTCCAGCATGAAGAAGTAGATATACTGGGTCTTGATGGTCATATTTACAAAGGACGTATGGATACACATCTTCCATCAATAACCGGAAAAGAATGTGAGTTTTGTCTTCTGTTTGCAGATGCTCTGAGTAGACTAGTCAATTCTTTCTCTTTATCCCAGGCACTTTGAAGTATTTTGGCACTGTACCTTCCTGTCAAGTAATTGTCTATAGCAGTATCCCCCAACTTGGAGCCTTTTGATTCCCTAACATAGACAGCATGACCTTAAGTGAGAAATTATGGAAGCTGTAGCTAAATTAGGAGGGATCCAGGTGGAAGAAGGCCAACCTATAGAACAAGCAGATCTTTGTGTTTGTTCTGGTGGAGAATTGCTCCAGAGAAACATACAGCAATTTCACAGGTGGAGCATGTTTGACCTCTTAGAGTTGCTATGAGACTTTATCTTCATCTGTGTCCAAAACATTGATGCCACCCCTCACACTTCTCTCATCAGATGTCCCAAGAACAAGAAGCAAGCTTGCTCGGTCTTCCTCACAAAGGCAGCATCCCATGCTCAGTGACCTGGCTAACCTCCCTGCTCGCCCCCACACTGCGAAAGTGTCGGTCGGCAACATGTCAGGTATGTTACAATCCTGAATCAAGCTTGATTAGAAATGGAAATGATGCCTGAAGCCCACCCAGAAATGCTTAGAGAGTATTTCCTTCAATTGTCTATGAAATAATAGCTGAGGAAAGCAGAACAGTGATGATGCTCAAATGAAGTTTCTGAGAGATGGTCTGTATTCAATTTTATCACTGGAGGATGGGCATTGTGCAGATAACACTGAAGACTCAAAACAATCTGTTCCTTTCTTGACAGAACTACACTTCACAAGATCTCCTTGAGAAAAGCAAAGAGCTATTGAATTAGTGACCTTTCATAAAATCGAAATTTTTGAATGATGAGGCCAGGCAAAAGTGGGCATTTGTGAAATCTCCAAATTTGGGGTGAACCAAACCCCAAAATTTAATTCAGTCTTCACTAAAAAAAAAGTAACTTGTTATGCTTAAAAGTATTGAAATCTGGGACTATTTCTTTGTTAGAACCTCTCTTACGCCAGCAATATAATAGCCAGACTGCAACTTTCTCTTTTGCAGCTTTCACTAGTATGTTTATGTTCTTCCATTTCCCATGAGAGATGAGGTTAGTTTCCCAGGAAACTGCCAGATCCTGCTTAAGCATTGAGCCTCTGCCTTTCTGCAGACATCCAGTCACAGGAACCCCTCTTTCTGTCTATGATTCGTGTAGGCAGTGGATCTCTAAAGCATGAGAAAGCCTTCAGGACATCATCATCTCTTTGGTAAAGAGTCCCTTATGAGCCAGACAGAAACAAAGCATACTTTCCCAGCCTTGTCCTGACCTTCCAACTCTGTTGGACTGCAATAACTGCTTTGTCCCAAAGCTTCAAAATGGAAGATAACAGGAGCTGTAATCTAGTACTGGTAGAGGATATCATTTTGTGGAAGTAGGAATGAAACTGGTAGTTAAGAACTAATGTACTGTTCCATGCCCGGCAGGCCTTTTATTGTTTTTGTGAGAAAACTCTTCCCAGCTGAGTGATTCTACCTTTCTTTGCAGTCTTCATGGCCACGAATCCATCTGTCCATTATACAGAATCCCCCTTGGTAGCACTGAGGTGCTGAATGGTCACATCTGAGATGCAAATGCAAACTTAGTCATTAAAGAATCACACTGCAGCAGCTTGGCTGAAGAATCTTTTCAGAATTTATGGTGAATTTATCATTCCAAAACAATGCTTACCTATCCAGTGACTAATGTAGGAAAAGTACAGAACCTACCAGTGAAGTGTTTTTACCTTGCCCAGATAAGGAAGGGAAAATTCATTACAAATGAAAGTAACTATATGTGTCCCAGGATAATGCTGCAAGATTGAACCTGGGTCAGTCACTGGGACCAGAGGTTTACTCTTCCAGGTTTTCAGACTCGTGCTGGAGCCCATCTTCAAGGAACTTCTCTCTAATGGAATAGAGAATATTCCAGTAGAGAGCGACCCAGTGACTGAGAGACCCAGTGACTGACCCAGATTCAATCTTGGAAAATGTATTTCCTGCACTGTTTCAAGCATGGCTTGGTCATACTTTTTATTATTAACTGAATTCAAGAAAGGTCTAGCAGCAGAGTACAGATTAAATATAGACTGGTTTACACATAATTACATGTGTAGAGTAATAGATCTCTGATAACAATCTTCCTAAATTTGATGTCCTCCAGATGTTTGGATTACTCTCCCAATATGGCAGCAGTCATCCAATTCATCTGGGAGAGCAGATTGGCAGTACTTTTAGAATGTATGAAACAAATACATGTTATCTTGAATAGAAAGAGGGAAAATAAGCATGCTAGTGAGAAACTTGGATTTCTATAGCTTGCACTCAAATGTTAAACATCCAACACAAGTTTGCTTCTCGGATATTACTTCATATAAAAACATTACATTAAGTGTAAATCAGGTTGTACAGATCTTACTGTATAAAGAGATGTTGTTTTATAAATACAGCATTTGGGAAATAGGACTGGCACAGAGCAGAACAAACAAGATTTGACTATCATTTGGGCTCATTCATGTTACTTGGTTCGGTCATGCTAGAAAGGACAGAATGCAGCTTTAGCATAGGAAATCTCAGCTCTTTCTGAGAACTATATCAGGCATGAATTGCTAGTCACAAGGCTTTCAACTTTGATGCATCTTTTAAATGGCATCCTCCATAAAATGCCATTTAAAAATAAAAGGGTGCAGCAATAGAGAGATTCTGTGTGTTGCAAGAGAAGGTGACAGCAATTGCAGGTGTATAGAGGCTCACAAAATGAAATTGACAAGTATTTCTGACACCTGATCCATGTTTTAATAGACAATATTAAAACTATTAGATGAATGGCAGTTACGCTTAATGTAACCCTACACAAAAAACCTCTGCTATGAAAAATACATAGCTAAAGAGGATTATGTTAGTCTCCAATTTACAACCACAATTGGGATCAGAATCTCAATTGTTGAGAAGATGTCCATGTGATCACATTACTTGATGACCGCAAACCCAGCTTTCCCAGTTGTGGTCATTAAGCAGACAAAGAGAAAGATCGGTGTGCCTAAGGAGGGCAAGGAAGGTATCTGGAAAGAACCTCCTGTGGTAGATCCAAGTCTTGGTTCTACAGCCCTTCACAGATGTTCCCTTCCCGTCATGCACAGAAGGGAACTCATGCAACGGGCTGGAGAAACTAAGTGGAGATATTTGCAATCTGCATTTTGTTTCTCCACCCCAGTGCACTGGTTCCTCTTTCCCCCATGCGCAGAAGGGAACTTGTGTACTGGACTGGAGAAACGAACTGGGGATCGGGAAGAACGCTGCTTTGTTTCTTCAGCTCAACGCATGAGTTAGTGTCCTCTCCTTGCGCAAAAGGGAATTCTTGTGCAGGGCTGGAGAAATTAAGTAGGCATCTTCATAATCTTTAGATTATATTCTTTCCCCTCTGGACAGAAGGGAACTGCTATGCTGGGCTGGGGAAACAAAATGGGGATCACAAATTTCAAAGCTTCGTTTGTGTAGCCCTATGAAGGATTTTTACCCACTCCTTAAGAATGGTGTGTGTGTGAATTCTTCAGCAGCTGGCAACATTTCCTGCCAGCTTCCCCATTCACTTTCTGTGGAAGCCAGCAGAGAAGACTGCAAATAGCAATCACATAACTGAGGTGCTTGGCAATCTGTCATAAGTGCAAATAGGCTGCCCAGCACCCTGATCACAATCATATGACTGCAGGGGTGATAATGTAAAGTGCCCTTTCTGAGTTGCCATAACTTCAAACCGTTATCAAATGACAGGTTGTAAATTGAAGACTCACTGTAATTGTTGCTGCTATATTTGGCTTGATGAATTGTATTGTAAATAGCCCATTATGTATTTTAAACCTACCTGTATGTTAAACCTTCAAGTATGTCTTTCAAACCAAAATAGATGTTCAATCACTGATCATCAGAGGAATTAAGAGACAGGCAATTTTTAAGTGCGGCAGAGTAGTTAAAATGGCTTGCAAGTAGAATGACATCATAGCAGGCCTGGGATCCCAGGAAATTTTCTTTGTCAGTTCAGGGCTTCTTCTCACCCTGTGTGGTTACTGACTAGCAGAAGCTTTTCAGGATTTCAGACAGGGGGCTTTGCCAGGTTTAACTAGAGACGCCAGACTGAAGTCTCTTCTTTCATCATTTAAGGGCAGGGACCGGAAAATGTCAAATTAAGGTGGTTTTGTGCATAGGAATCAGGGGAAGGAAAGAAGTTTGTACAGGGAAAATGGACTCTGCTGATTGGCTCAACCATTTTTTATAAGACCAACAGTAAAATTGGATGTGGCTGTTTTGTGTGTTTCAGCTAAATCAATAACAGACAAGTCTGCCGCTTCATTAAGGAATTCAGAAGAGTCTGGAAATTTGGAGAGAGAAACTTTTGATGTCCGAATGACGATTGCCTCAAGACAACGGTCTGATGAGCAGTCTACCTAAGCCAAGAGGATCCAGTTTTCACTCGCGTAGAACGTGGTTCTCACTAATGAAGCCAGATAATAAAGAGTATTCTAAAGGAGAAGGGTGCAGATCTTCTGCTGCCATGGAATCCTGGCCCTCTGGCTATGCCCATAGTGTTTGCAGTCTCTGCGCTTTCCTATAGTGATGCTCCTGGAGGAATCTGCTAGTGGGTGGAGCAGGGGTGGGGTGGGGTGAGGCTTTCTTCTGCATTGTTCCACTGAGTCTACAGGTCATTCATTTTATCCACGAGAAGTTCAGTACAAAATCCTCTATATAAACTGGCTAGAGAATAGCTGATTTTAAGCATCAGCTTGTCTCCCTTTTCTGTTTGTTGCTTTGTGTCCACAGTCAGATATAAAAATGGCCATATAAAAGAAAGCCACTTTTGTAGTCTGAGAAATTTTTCTCTGCTTTGTGAAGAATGGCTGCCTTCTGGCCTTTCACAGGTGACATAATATCAGTGTGTAAATATCTACGTGTTTACAGATTTTGCATCCATTGAGGATTTTCTGGAAAGCTCAGAATTCCGCGAGACTCTTCTTAGTGCAGAAGTCACAGCAAGTAATGCTCCAACTCCTGGACTGAGCAATCTCTGCGGTCAGAATATTATGCAGAAACAATAACTTCTAGAGAATCGGTAGCAACTGTTAACAGCAATAAATCAGTATGGAGAGGCAGGGTGAAGAGTTTATAAACTTGTTCACATGTGTGCTGCACTGAGATTTTAGGGTTGGTGGGTAAGATAGGCTTTATGTATTGTTAATGACTGTGCAGATCCGTACATATGAATATACACATGTACAAGGACATACCTAACACCACCAAATTAGTAACTGATGATGATTCAGCCTTGCCTTATTAATAACAAGTTATTTTGGCAAACTATTTTACCCTGCCATTCATAAGGATCAATAGAATTCCTAACTTTCCTCTGATTCCAAATCTGAGATGTATTTTGCTTCAGTGCAGGTCAGAGGATAATTGATGGTCAGTAGCTGCTTTTAAAAAACCATTATTTTCCACTGAAAAACGCAAAATAGCCAAGCACTTAAAAATATCTGCCCTGGCTCTGAGTCCCATTGAATTAGTGTGCCGCATTACGTGCAGGATGATGAAACAATGACACATCCTTGATTGGTTGGTAATCTGCATCACCTTTAAAAGCATTTAATGTGCCGGTTGGTTAGCTGTAGTAACCTTTATCGCAGGGTGATTCTGTAAGCGAAGTCGACACCAGCAGTCAAAATTTAGTAGCAGAGCGAACCCAACAAAAATATTTCTAGACTTCACAAGACAAACAATTATTCCCTTGATCTCAGGCATACATTTGAAGTAATCACACTGTTTCAGTTGGGCAAGCAACTAATTCCGCTTCTCTATGGCCAACACATTTAGTTCCCTAGTGAATCTTAAATCACCGCTTTAGAATTTAGAAAGCTTTCCAAACCAAACAAGACTTTGGTGGAAAAGAACATTTGGTTTCCCAGTATGGCTGTGGATCTTTCAGTGCCTAGTTACATAATACAAAATTCAGCCAGACTACAAATATCTCAGTCTCTCATCCTACAACAGAAAGACTTCGTTGCATTTTTTTAAACATGCAGAGGAGCTATTGTTCCTGAGCTTGAGAACCAGCCAAATGGTTTGTAGGGATGAGAATGAGCACTTCCTTTCAAGAATTTCATCTTGCAATTTAGGTGCCTGCTCTGCTTTTTACTGATAGCATGCAAAGACTAGCACTATCAGAGTGGACCAGGGCTCAGGGACCAGCAGTGGGGCTTCTCTTCCAACATTGCTACCATCTTGGCAGAATGCCAGGGGTAGTAGTAGTGGTCTATTGGACCCAAAGAAGGCTTCTTTGATGGACCCCCTTTTAGTATTAATCATCAAAAAGACAATGGCTGCATTGGAGGGAGCAAACTTCTGCTTGTGCAGGATTGCACCATCAAACAACTAGGGGTGCTTCCTTAATGTAGAGGCTACCAGATTTGGACTGCAAGAATCTGGGTCATTAGAGAGCCACAAAGCGTTTGTGTGTCTCTGCTGCATTCTACCACTTACCTTGATGAGTACAAGCTACAGTACATTCACAGCCCACTTCCAGGTGCCTTTCTGTCATCACCCACTAGGCCCGAGTTCCTCTCTGGGTGCAAGCTGAGCCTGCAGAAAACTACCACCAGATTTGTTGTTTTAAATTGAAATAGTGTTGACTCTCTACCCTAAGGATCTCTAGATAGCTGCTGCCCCTGTTGTGTTTGCATTTGTGGCCCTGCAAAATGCTCAGTTAAACTGATGTAGTAGAGTCCAGCCTTTGTTTCCATGACATTCAGTCAATGAGAGTTCCTCCTACCTACTTTTTTCAGGGATTTTCTGAATTTTTCAGGTTGCTCTCAAATTTTGTAGAAGCTAGCATGCCTCCCCTTCATTGTCTGCTCTAGAAAAACCTAAAGAGATGAAAGATATTTTTATGGAGAATATTTTATATGGGGAGGAGGCGCAAGTAATAGCTTTCAATGTATACCATAGCTTATTATTTCTCCCAGAGATAATTCTTTTTCCACAAACCTTCCAAGCATCTATATTACATTCCACCTGCTGAATGTAATATACAGTCCTTGACTTATGACCATTCATTTAATGATGGCTCAGAGTTACAACAGCCTTGGAAAAATTGATTTAGACCTGTCCTCACACTTAAAAACTGATACACCATCCCCACAGTTGGCAACTGGCTTGCATTTATGACCAGTTGCAGCTCCTGTGATCATATAAACATAATATTTGATCTTTCCAGCTGGTTTCTGACAAAAAACACCAGATGGGAAAGCTGGATTTGCTTAACATCCGTATGATTTGCTTAACTAAAGCTATGGCAATTCACTTAACAACCACAGTATATACTGTTGTAAAATCAGATCCAGTCATGTGATGACTCACTTTTCAACTGCACTAACTTACAATGGAAAATCTGCTCCACATTAAGGTCACCAATCGATTATTTGTATTGCCACTAATGTGTGCTCGGATGCATGAATAATTATTAACTAGTATCCTCATTTCATTTATTCCACTATGCCTTGCATAATAGTGGAAGCTTTGAGGAATTTATAATAATCACAATTTCATTCTGACTCCCACTCCCCATCAAAATATATGTATGCCAGTCCTCCAACACCAATATAATTCTGAAAATTAGGGGTTGAGAGGTTGAGGTTGGCTTGGTTTTACTTCTGTTGTGGAATGGGTTCCAAGTTTGATACAAAGAAAAAACTCCTAATTTAAGAAAACAGTGGCAGCTGCTAATGCAGGCATATTATTGGTTAGCTTAAACAGCTTTATAAGCATGGACAAACTTAGAAGAATCAACAAGATACAAGAACCTGGCCAAGGAAAAGAGGGGACACCCTTCTTACAGAGATCTTTATTCTCCCACCTGCTTGTGAAGGTAAAGATCTTTTCAAATAACACAGTCAAACTCTAATCTGAGCAAGATTCATCCATTAGAATCAAAACCAGCAGCATTAGGGAGCTTGTATTATGAGCACATCTGAGGCGTTGGAGGAATTCTAGAGTGAAAATGCCACAATTCTGTTAGAAAACAGACAAACATGTTAAGCTTGTTTCAAAGTGGTCTGTCTGCCTGGTAACCATCAAGCAAATATGGAATTGTATTGAAGCAGTATTTTCTCAAATAACTATATGTTGTCATAACAGTGGGATCTAAGGCTTTTCTCACGTACACCTGATACAAACATGCAGCATCTTTTTCCTTCTGTGTCCTCATAACATTCCCTTTGTCTGATTCCCACCTCAACACCTAAGGCAGCCTCAAGCCATTCTTAGTTTTACTGTGTCAAAATACTGTTTTTTTCTTTACTCAAACACAGGTTTTGCCACAGATACACTGAGCCCTATTGCATTTTCAAACATGTTGCCTTCAATGCCCTCATTACGTTTTCTTGTTTCCACAGTACTGCATCTTGCTAGTTTTTGTTTATTCTTTCCAAATATTGCTTAAGTTCATTAAGTCCCTCATACTATTTCAGCCCTTGATTTATTTGGACTCGGGCCATCTTACCTAACTTTAGAAAGTTGGATGTGGTTTAGAATTTGTGAACCAACGTGGCCTTCTAGGGCTGTAGTTTTAATGGAACAATGGAACAAAGAAAAAAAAAGTCACAAAACAAAGCAACAACAAGCCACTGTGTTGTACTGGTACTGAAAATAATATGTATATGCATCCATACATTCCCAAGAGTTAAAACCTGAATCTTTTACATTGTATCTAGGAATGTTTAATCTGGTCAAGCACCCAAACAACGTTTTGGCTCAAAGGAACAGAATCTTCTTAACACACGTTGAGGTTTGAACTGCATCTGGGTTCACCTTAAATGCATTAGTAGTGACAGAGGGCACTTCTTCATGTCTATGACAATGGGCTTACCGTCCATTCTTGAAGCAGGAAAAAAATAAGGCGATGCAGAAAACAAGACCCTTATGACTAGTCTATAGTTGTCACATGTCAACAACAGTGCTGCTCAGTTCAAGGTACTGTTGGGGAAGTGAATGGTGGCTTCTCTACCATGGAATAGCTTAACTTCTGAATGAATATACTGTACCTGGACTTGCACTGCTTATTTTGACAGGACGGTAAAATCTGAAGGAATGCAGCCATCTCACATTTATTGCGTAGGCAGGGGGAGAACATTTTAGAATGTCTCCCCCTCAGTATATGTGTGTACAAATACAGAGACACCTAGCAAAAAATCTATGGATGCATATCCCACAACAAGGGTGGATGGCCTAGAATCAGGGCATGCAAACTTTGGAGGGACAGTGGCATATCTGTAATTTTGCAAGCGTACTGTGACCCACAATGGATGTGAGGTTTGTTATGGCCAGTCACAGAACACCAATTTGCTAGAATACACCATCCCTTTTCCTTGGACTTCTGCTTGTTCACTGTTTTTTGGGGGAGGGGGTTAATCAGACACTCTTCTAAACAAGACACAAGACTGCAGTCCCCTGTCATATTTATTTTCTAGGGATATCTATATGATCTTTAAGAATGGTCCAAAACCATTCTTAAAAATAAGTACTATGTTAAAGATAGTATTTCGGGCACCTACAGACTGCCACAATTTCTAATACGTACCTCAAAAGACTATGAAAATGATCCACAATTGTCCTCAGAGAACAAGGAGCAAATAATGTTAATCAACGCATCCCTATTCTGAGCAGTCACCGGATTTAAATAATAAATCCTTCATATCCATATCCTTACAATGTCATGTGTGCATTCACCTAGA